GAACGAAGAGCCGGAGCAGAAAGGCTGAAAATCAAGCATCACCAACTCATTCTGGCTCATTTGTTTTAAAGAAGACTCGGCTCTATTTCTTGTGGTTTGTGAGATATGTGTTCTTTTCTGGCATGCATGTTTGGTATAGATTTCAGAACTGCACCATGGGTAGCAAACTCATATTGCTTAACGTCCTCACGCCAAACAGCTCCCCTTTTGGAGTGTTTCAGTTTCCTCTAAGGCAGTGTTTTTTAACACTGCCTGCTTCACCTCCTGTGATACCTCCTGCTTCACCTCCTGTGTCTCTCCCTTGTCACCTCCCGTGTCTCCTCCCGTGTAAAACTCCCAAAATTAAAGCTTGGATACTTATTTTCCCCATGCATTAACAATGCATGTTATTTCTGCACACGAGTAAAATGTTGTGAACAAATCAAACAACATTTAACAGGCGATTTTTTATTTGTTTTATTTTACATATTAAAGAGCTCTGTGAGTCATAATTTGACTTTTTGGGCTGATTTTTTAAATATTTTTATTCTTCACAGTTAGAGCCAATTTATTCCCAAGCTCTTGTTAACTCATTGCATTGAGAAATATTAAACAAAGCTTAATGTCAAGACCTGGATGTCTATTTAAGCACTTTGATGAGAATGACCTGGGAGCTGCTTCATTTCTGCACCGGACCTGTCCATGTTCTGCGGCCGCTGCGTGGCCCTGGTCCGCGCTCTGTAGCAATGAAAAACACTGCTCTATGGACCAACTTTTAGTAAAGCTTTTAGCACTTAGGTAGTTGTGTGGTTTTGTGTTTTTATATGATTCATTCTAATAGTGTTTTATTTTAATTTCATAAGGAGGTGACAGTGGCTCATTTGGTAGAGAAGCCGCTCAAAGCTTCTCTACCGCTTCAGACCTTTGAAGCGTCTTGTAGTATTACCCTAATACTCAAACTTTGGAGCTGTAATCGTAAATAAAATTGCTATCATAAATATACTATATAGTAGGCTCTGCAAATGCAACCAGACAATATTTTATACTTTGGTCATTTGATTTATACACATGTTCAGCTGCTGCAGCGTAAATCCTTGAGTTCTGCACTTTTAAAAGCACAATTATTTCTGTTCAAAACAACAAAACGTATGGAGATATACAGTAGGTGAGTGAATCTGTCCACATTCATACATTTCAAATGGAATTTCTGTGTGCACTTAAATCTCTACCTGCGGCCACTGGTCCACGTCCTGTAGCTAGCTTAGGTCCTAGATCATTAGCTGTCCGTCCGGAGGAGCGGATCCCTTTCTCAAATGGGTCTCCCTCCCTGTGGGTTTCCCTAGGTCTCCCCAAGGTTTCTCACTTTTTTCCACTGGGTTTTTTAAGACTTTTTCCTTGTCGATGCAGGAGGGTCTTGTTGGACAGTTAGTGTCCAACAGAAAGGATTGGTGATGATCAGGACACTTTAGCTTTCTACAACATGTATGGACATTTTCTTCTGTGTGTGCTTTATATTTTTCATGTGTTTTAACTGTTGATTCTCTGACCTGTGTTGGTGATTTCAATAGTCCTCTGAGATGACTTCTGTTGTGACCTAGGGCTATACAAGAATAAATTGTATTGTATTGTATTGTACCTGAACGTGCTTATATGCAAGGGGGTGGGGGGCGGTTTTCATTTGAACTCGCCCCAGACTATCCCCCTCGAACCCACAACCACTCACTCACTGGACTGGTTGTCCATCATTAATTAATTTTATAGGAATTTTTTTTTTGTATTATTATTTATTGTTTTTAAATGTTCTTCACGGACTTATGTGATTTTTTTATATATTCTGTGCAGCACTTTGGAACAGTTTTTTTTTTTATTGCTATATAAATAAAGTGGATTTGATTGAACTGAAACCAACTAATAACTCTTTCTGTTCACAAAAGTAATCACCCAGAAGGAATTTACAAAATTGACTACAAAAGATTAGACAATCAAACAATTACACAGCAGGAAGCTCGCCCAAATGGGGCCCGCCACCGCTTTCACACCTTTTTTGAAGAAAAAGGTGTGAATTCTTTGCTGCTCTGACCCCCACCTCCCCGCACAAACATTTGGACATGAGCAGTAGCCGAGAACAAATGTAAACAACAATAGCGGCAGGTACACTAACTAGCTATTAGTGTATTCTACTATTTCGTTCGTCAAAACGAAACCACGCAAAACTGCAGTTTCAGTTTCCATCCAAATCTATAATCCCATACTGCGAAGTAAAAATGTCCCATAGCTGAACTGGCCTCCCACCCACACCAAATGTTCCCACAGATAACCTTATGCCCACAGCTGCTATGCACTGGAAGACGTGGGCCATGTGGACATTAGCATAAAACATAACAGAAAACACTACTTCCATGGTAGAAGAAACAGCACTTCTTAAATTAAAAAATGACATCCTCCTCGCAGCCGACTATGGTTCCAAATCCATCCTCCTCCTTGACCTCTCCGCTGCATTTGACACTAAAGACCATTCCCTTCTCCTCCACCACTCCTCTTCACCAGCTACATGCTTCTCCTCAGTCAGATCATCCAACACCATGGACTCCACTTTCACTGTTCATCTGACGACACTCAACTCTACATGCCCACCAAATCCATCACCCCGGGCCTCTCCACCATCACTAATTGCATCTCTGACATTAAAATCTGGATGGACAATAACTTTCTTAAAGGAGCTATACCCGTTTCTGCAAGGTTTGAATGTTTAGCACCGCCCCTCAACTCGCTAACAGGTCTCTAATTTCCCCTATGCACTCCTGCCACAGAGCCAACTGGTTTTATTTGCGATCTATATGCAAACATTAGCATGGGCGCAACTTCTTGTAAGCTGTACAACAATCACTGATGAAATGGTACAAAAGCAACGCACTGCTAACAAAATATATAACTGAAAGATTACTGCTAGTTTTGCGTCCAAATGTAGTCTGAGCACTGGAAAAGAGGACAGAATTAAAGACAAAAAAATGCTAAAATTTGGCTAAATGCATCTAAATTTGAGCACATTTTGACTGCCTTAAAACAAGATTTGCCAGATATTGCCAAGATATTTTTCTCTTGGAATGAGAAAATAAAGCAATAGTTCTTGAATCAAGTCAAAATTGCTTGTCTCATTGGCAAATCTCATTTTAAGACAGTCAGAATGAACTTAAGTCAAGTTAAAAAAAACTCGATTCTAGCAATTATGATCTCTAGGCGGTCCCGCACCCGCAGGTCTCTCTCATAGACTGTAAGTCTCCCCAGAGTATACAATGTAAGCTAGCTATGTAACCTGGGCTTGATTTCTTCTTTGATCATGCTTTCGCTTTAGTTCCCTCTTCTCTTCCTCACTGTTGCGTCGTTTGGACTGTTTTGCTGTGTCTGCAGTTACAGCAAGAGGAGTTATAGCCAATTCTTCTAACATGCTACTGTGTTTAGCTAGAGGAGGCAACCGGTTTGTAACAGCGCCGCTCCTCGTTCTGTGAGTGGAGGAGAACGAGCGTCACGCCAAGTCTCTACTCGGCACTTTTTACGGCCTGAATTCATACACAAGCTGAATCAATGAACTCAATTATGGTTTATAATACAACTTGTATCTAGTAATACGCATTCTTATGAACATCGACCCTAAATCTCTTGGGCCCTCTATCCAGAACTTTACCCTCCTCATTGATGGTCACAATGTCTGTACGCAACCTCAGCATCATAATGGACTTCACCCTCTCATACCAAACACACGTCAGACACATCACCAAAACATACTTCTTCCACCTCCGCAACATTGCTCGCTTCTGACCCTTCCTTACCCCGTCAACAGCCAAAATTCTCATCCACTCATTCATCACTTCCAGACTCAACTACTGCAATAGCCTCCTCTACGGACATCCCACCACTCATCTCCATAAACTGCAATACCTCCTCCAGCAGCTCCACTGGCTCCCCATTCATTATTGCGTCCAATACAAGCTCCTTCTCCTCGCCTACAAGTCCCTCCATAACCTGGCCCGCCCTAGTGGGCTCCTGCAATAACACCAACCCACCCTCCGCCTTCGCTCAGCTGACTCCAACCGCCTGACTGCCATCACCCGCACTAACCGCTTGACCTTGGGGAACTCACTCCCACTGCCCATTAGAAACTCTGACTTTAAATCAGTTCTCAAAGCCCATCTGTTCAAACAAGCTTTTCCGTAAACCCCCTGTTTATTTTGTTCACCATGTGAAGCGTCTTGGAGTGTCCAAAAAAGCGCTATACAAGTTCGATGTATTATTATTATTATTATTATTATTATTATAATAGTCCACAAAAAGAGCCATTATAATGGTCGCTGCACCATTCTTGTGCTGTAACTAGAAAATGTTAGTTTTTAACTCTTGCTCAAGAAAATAAAGTTAACCTTTGTGGGTTTTATGGGCAGTTAATGTGTTACTTGTGTGAGTCATTTTGACCAATGCCCTTGTTGAAGGATAAATTAATGTCAAACTATAGATTTGATACAGGCCTATAGGTTATATCATTTTGTTCACCTTTATTATTTCATATATGCAACATTCAAGAGTTGTATTAAGATAATGTGGAGTTGGGAAAAGTATGAGACAGGAGACAGTGTCGTGCGACATCCACAATATCCTATATACACATGAAACTCAGAAACACTTGTAAATTTTTCAAAAGTTCATTTATTTCTGTAATTCAACTTCAAATGTGAAACAAATATATGAGATAGACTCATTACATACAAAGTGACATACCAAACTTTTGTTTGTTAGAAGTAAATGGACTTTTGAACAATATTGTATTTTTTGAGTTTCACCTGTAGGTTATCTGATGAGGCTTATAGATTTGGTGTGGTAATAGTTTGTTCTGTCACTGTCAACCTACTCTCTGATGTTATCTGCTTAGAATTCTCTGGAAATTTCCCAGAACAAAAGAAGGGATGTGTTGTGGCAGAAACAGTAAATACAATATACAGCTTTTGCATATATGTAGTCACAGCTCGTACCTTTTCGTTGTCCTTATCCGAGCTGATGCTGAGCTTCTTCCCCATGTGGTTGTGGATCTCTCCGTTGCTCTCGTGGACCTGCTCTAGGACTGGGGTGGACTGCCGGGGGGTCACGTCTGGGGGCGCCTCCTCTTCACGTATCTCCTCATGGGTCTCCTCCTGTCTCTCATCAATCATCTCTTCACTGGTCTCCTCCTGTCTCTCATCAATCATCTCTTCACTGGTCTCCACCTGTCTCTCACCAATGATCTTCTCACTGGTCTTCTCACATCTCTCATTAATCATCCCCTCATTGGTCTCATTGTGTTTTTCATAGTTGAGTTCTTTTGTCTCTTCAATGATTTCCTCATTTCTATCATGTCTCTCATCGTTTACATTCTCATCCATCACCTCATCTGTCTGATTATCCTCCCCATTTCCTCTTTCTTGTCTTCCCAACTCTGCCTCCTCACCCTCCATCTCCTCTCCCTCAGTGGCCACTACTTCAAGCTTTCCGTTGTCGCTTTCTGTCCCATCCAAGTCCTGTTGAGCGTCAATCACCTCTCCCTCTTCCACCTGCTCTTCCTCCTCCTCATCTTCCTCCACCGGGACGCCGTCAGTCACATACTCCTTCTGGCACTTAAGATTGTGCCTTTTCAGCAGCTGCTCAGTCTCCGCGTCCACCACTATGAGCTCCAGGAGTCCCGTTGTGGCGCGTATCCGGGAAACGACCTGTTGATGGCTCTCGTTCTCCACCTCCTCCCCATTTACAAACACGAGTCGGTCCCCAGCGCGCAACCCCGAGCTCTCCGCGGGACTCTCAGGCTCTACTAGGCGTATGAATTGGCCCGTCTTGCCTTTCTCCCCATGCAAGTGGAAGCCGTAGCCGTTGTCGCCCTTCTCCAGTGCGCACAGCCTCGGACGCAGGGACTGGCTTTGGCTCAGCATAGTGGAGCGGGCGGTCCGACCTGTTGCGCGCACTCGGGAACACTAGAAAGATACGACTCACGAAGAGGGCTGTGCGTACAATATTATGTGGAAAGAAATCCCCGCCTTCTCTCGCTCGTCCGCTACTAACGACTCTCCGAATCCTGCAATTATGTAACTTTAGCGAGCCCAAAAGTGATGCAGATAATAACAGTGAGCTGTGGGAGTAACGGTCAGCTGGAGCAGTAGTGGCACAAGTAAAGAACGTGCACTCAGGAAGAGGGAGGCGCGTCCCCGGCCCGGCCCAGCGCGCACTTTCTGATGCAAAGTAGTGACAAACCAAATACGCTACCTCGGAACGGTTTTGTCATGCTTTTCTTGCCTACAAATTTAAAGGGGACATAATATACGAATCGATGTTTCGTCACTTCTGGCACAAACATGTGACTCCACCTCTTTAGTCTGCCTTATAAAATTAATAAAATTAAAATTAGTTTTGGCCCAAGTTATTAACTTCCCAAGTGAAATTAAGTTCTTTACAATCACATGTCCCACTTGCAGCTGTAATTTTCAAATTGAAAAAGGGGGATACAGGCTGAAATCTTTTCTTTACCCTTCATATTTGCTTCACTGTAGTTTTTGTCCATCTATAACATGATATGACAATAGTCATTTGTCTCATATATTATTATGGCAAGTTCTTCTGGCAAAGTATTCTAGGATATTCATAAGTAATTTTATTACTATGCAGGACAAGCCTGGTTCGTACTATGACCATTGAAAACATGTCTTTGTGTCCTTAGGCAAGACACTCATATTACCTGTATGAGTCATGGTGTTTGAGAAAGGTTGGTGGAGAGTCCGGTGGGTGTGGTGCATGCCCCAGGGCAGCTGTACTTTGCTATCTTACCATCAGTATGTCTAGTAATGTATTATAGTGTATGTTGTCCTATCGAGAATGTTGCGTATAGATCACAAAGGGGCTCATCATTACTGATAGTTGTTTTTGTGTTGCTTATATATTGTAAACGTGTACAATATTTAAATGTGCATTATGCAAAATGTAAATGAATTAACACTGATCAAAAGTTTCGCTGCCCACTGCTGCCCACTCTTACAGCCACTGGGTCCCTACAAAGTCAAAAACAACTATTTCCCTCGCACAAGGGGTGTGTTTAATTCATACAACCTCACTTCTTCGAGTTGTTTAATCTGCTTATACCATGGGAAAACACTCATACATCCATATCCTTTCAGAAAATATATAAATTTTGTCCTCTATGCGCTCAAAAAAAAATTTAGGAAAGGAACTAAGCCAAGAGCCAGCTCAAGCTCCATGATCAAAATGTAGACACACACACTGAAGACAAACAGTTTTCCTACATTTCCTACATCCAGCATGTTTAGATATTCAGCATCTTGATACATAACAGACCTTTAAAAGTGACTTTATAATCCAAAATAAGTACTTTTTTTAGTAGTAGTTTTTTTGTAGAATGGTGTTGTCTGATTCGGATTGTTGTGGAACCTGTACTTTGATATGAGTTTCAATCAATATTTTATCAAGGTCCTATCTGACCATGGTATGAATTTTCATAATGCATCTTTATTTACAGCGGTTTTACTCCCCAATCATCCGCATTATTACGGTGAATTCTTTCTGAAGAATGGCTCATGGGTAATTCAAGGGATGAAGCTACTTGCTATAAATCTCTCCAGTAATATTTTTTGCAATGAAGTGGGGACAAGACAAAAGTTTTTATGGTGCTGGTGGGGATGTTCAATAAAAGGTAAGGAATTTTGTAATATACTGTATCTAAGGTAGCAATATGCATGATTTGCAGCAATAAAAAAGGTCTCATTGTGATTAATGACAAAACAAGGAATAAAACGATGATTTCTATCAGGGATGCCTTTGTAAAAAAGATGTTGGTTATAGTTTCGTTGATGAAAAAACTCTTGTCTACTCAGCTATTATGGTCCCACCTGGATTCGTCTGCATATGACATCCTTGCATTTGGCAACCTGAGTCAGGGAGAGTGACTACAGAATATTGACCGTGATTGCAGAACCACTTTTGGCCAGATTTTTAGATATTGCTACTTTAAAGCTGCATTTTTGTATTCATTATGAAAATTCAATCCATATCCATGCAGTGCATTGGGATATACGTCCTTTTTAAGAATAAGTAGCGCTGGTTTGTGCTGGCAGGTCATTTTATTTTAGATTGAGTTTTTTGTGCAAAAAGGAAGAGAATTTGGTCACCAAATCTGCAGCTCAGACATTTGCACAGACAGCTGAGGTAAACAAGCACCGGAGGCTAACCTGAAGCTTCCCATGTCTTCGTTAGCGGTTACTGCTTACACAACAAAATAGCCAAAAGAAAGTCTTGTTCCTCCACGCTTCCTGGTTCAATCATTTTATGGTCACGCCATCCACGTTCAAATGTGCGATCCATATTGTGAGACGCGAGCTCCGTAAACAGTACATGTGCGGCTAAGGGGGAGGGGGATAGTGGGGGGGCGAAAGCTCCGTGAGTGCGGGGAGGGCAAGCAGAAGAGCGAGCCCAGCACTCATATTCGAAAATGTCTCAAAGTGAGTAAGTGCAGCTTTAAAGGACAACTAAACACCAAATCAAATTTTTTTTTTAACTCATAAACTGCATATATAGTCTTATATATATAGTCTTCTTATAGTGCTCTCTACATGTCCTGGTAATTTTATTTGACATTGTAGTGCAAACTAGATAAAATCTCACTTTTGAGCCTAAAAGCCAGCCTTTTTGGTGGCACTACATTTGAATTTTAGGCTTGGCTCTCCATTGGCTCTTGAGTACTGTGTGACGTTAGTCGGTGCTGTGTGACGTGTGTCTCTGCGCCAGTGGTATAAACCCATCCAACTCCCACACACAGCAGCAGTAGCAGGTTCAGAGTATTCTGGGGACATCTAGTGGATTAATATTAATTTACATCAGTTGAAAGCCACTGCTGCTGATGTACTGTATTCTGTGGATTAGGTTCAGGTGTGTAGCTCTACAATTATCTTAGTGTGTAAACAAGGGTGGAATGAGACTTTCTGGTGTGTAAACTATTGCTTTAAGCAACAATGACAACTGTCTGTTTTTTTTTGTGACAAGCGAGCTGTCAATCAGAGCCCAGACCACGCCCAGCTCTAAGCCCCCCTTCTTGTCCCTTGGTCCTCCAGGCAACGCCCTTTTTAGAGAACATGTTCAAATGTTCATGTGGGCGGAGTAAGAATGGGCACAGGTGTTTAGTCGCTCTTTAAAATAAATATGTTGTTATTTTCTTGTGCAAAGCTTTCATTCTTCCTCCTTGCCACCTTTTGGTTTAACATTAGAATGAAAGGGCGGAATGTATCCTTAAATAAAAATCAGGTCTACCTTTATTGCACTTATAGCTCTGTAGAAAATCTAATATAAACTCAAGTGAAGCTACAGAGGTTATAGTGACAGTAGTAGAGCAGTGGATCTGGGTGTAAAAAGGAATATAGCTGTACAGTGCTGCCCCGCAGTGGCCGAATCTTCTAAAGACATTCTCTCAAAAAACAACAACCACAGGCCCAAGAAAACCACAACGTACATTACAAAAAATACAATTTATACACATATATAATTATACAAGATATGATTACAAAGCACTTTTCTCTGGCACTTTGTGATCACTGTGATGCACCAGGACAGACAAATGAGACTGAGTAGGAAATGTAGGATGTGCGGCAAATACTGATATATGATAGACTCTAGTCTTGAACAAAATAATTTGGACCTCAATTCATGGCAGTGTTTACACAAATGTTCAAAGACAGAACAGTTTTTACAAAACCATGGAAGGGAATGTAATGCTGACCAAAACACACATTACCATTAAGAAAGTGTGAGTATCATCAAAACAGAAGAGGCCATTGAAAGTGAATGTCAATTATTTTTCAGATTGTGAAGAGACAGTAAATTATTTTGAAGAAAAGCACAGGTGTATGTAGGGTCCATGCTCACCCTTGGAGCCTTCTTGATTTGTCAAAATTTGTTCAAATCCTTGAGTCATTGGTTTAATCATTCTCCTCCAGCTCTATATATTTAATATAGAGGGACTATTTTAAATATATTATTGTTGAAAAGAATCATACTGTACAGAATAGTATAGTGCCCCATGGTCAGAAATATAAATTTTTCTAAAAATGAAACAAATCGCTGACATCACCTTTAAAATTCTTGAGATTTTTTCTATTATTCTCCTTTTTTGTTTTCTATAAATCCAACCCGTCAAACAATTGTTCAGATTATAATAGCTATACTCAAGACACAAACATGTCAATGATACTGAACTGATAACAAATACTCACCCGACTATAACCCACATGTACGTTACAAATATGCATGTTTCCTAAATTAAACACGTATAAATCCACACGTTAGGATGAGTGCCCTCAAAACATTGGCTTTATTCCACCTAACCAGAGTACACACAAGAACTAATTAAACTATTTCAAAGCTGAAATCAGACTGAAGAATGAATGAGATGACTGTTTAAGGCCAAAGGGACTGAGTTTGCAGCCTGGTAAACGTTGGATGAAGAACAAACAGCAGAACAACCCAGCCATATTGATTGTTCAGCATTTTGTTTTGTGGCTTAAGGGTGCATCTCAATTCGGAAATTTTAAGCCACCTATACCTAAAAAAGATTGTTCTACCCTTTGGGCTCTCTCTTTGGTGGTTGGGGCTAAACATGGAGGAATGAACGAGTGTTCAGAATCAAAATGTGACATAATACGGTCACCACAAAAGACCACAAAGTATTCTTACAACTAGGGCTTGACATTAACCTTGCATGGCTTTAGCCCAGCAGCAGCAGCCGCCGCCACACCAGGCCTTTTCAAGTTGTGGCAAGGGAGGCAAAGCAGGCCCTCCGAAACTTCAAAACAGGCCATCAGCCCATGCTCAATGCAGAAAGTGATGAAATATTAAGCAGAGAATTCTTGAATCAAATCAAGGTTTTATTAAAACCTTGGTTCAAATACATTTAAAAATAACATGGGACATTCAAAACAAATTACAGTAGTAATTCTTTCTCCTTCATGTGAGAAATTCCTTGTCTATCAAAATCTTGATGTTATTAGTTGATCAAAAAAATGTTGATTTAACCTAATAATTCCAAACATTTTTGACTAATAGACTATTTTATATATACATTGGGCTTAGATTTTCCTGGTCGTAGCCCATTTTATTCACACATTGAACAAATGTACATGCTGAGGCAATGTGTTTTTCAAAAGATAAAGTGCTCACCAAAACTTGAAGAGACTTGTTCTGATGATTTAAACTCAGTATCCATAACTTCAAGATATGTCTTGCTTTATAAAACCCAGCTCGTAGCTATGGGTTTTAGTTAGAGATGCACTTATTCAACCTTTTGAGCTCTCGCACTAATCTTGATTTTAAGTATAGATCTACCATTATCTGAAATGTCCCAATTTCTTTAATAATCTTATTTTTCAGATTAAAAATAAAAATATACATATAAATTGTTTTGACATTTTGACTTAATAACAATTACAACAAAAGTAAATGTCAGTTACTTTTTGAATAGTGAAGAGTACCCTGGTTAGACCCACCTATGCTCGTCTCTTCAGCCTCCTGATTGTTCAAAATTAATTTAAATCCTTGGTCATCATTGGGTTAACCATTCTCTAGCAAATCTGGTCATAGTTGTTCCAGGCGGAAGGAACTATTTTGAACATATAATTGTTTAAACAGGGTCAGAACGACAAAGTCTTTTAAAAATTAAATTCCATTGAAGTTGTTGACATCACCTTTAATCTTCAATAAATGCATCAATAGGGGCCTATAGCCTTTATTTTTTACTAAATCATATTGTACCATTAAAAATATATTGTATCGAATTGAAAGTATCATATAGGTAGGCATTGAAAGATACCTAGCCCTAGGTATCTTTCTGGGAAAAAAGTTAATGCCAAGCCCAGCTCACAACATAACAATTTAAATATTTCAATTTAAATTCACATTTCTAATAAGGGGTTAGCCCAGCCTGGACTTCGTCTGAGGGGAAGGCAGGGTGCAATTTGGGACTGGGGCCTGCTTGTCACTCTCCACTCATCCGCCTGTGTGTGCATCTGTGCGTCCATCATGCCATGTTTGTGTGTGCGCACGCGGGGTCTAAACCAGCACGCAGCAGCCAGCCTTCTGCTTTTGGGCCTCGATGTAGTCGTGGATGTGGAACTTGGGATCGTTGGGCTGCTGCATCTCTCTGTGCTTCAGCTCTCTGACAGGAAAAGAGAAAAAAAAGAGGAAGTTAGATGTAAGAAGCAGGAGGTGGAGGATGTGTGGGCTGGAGTGCACAGACAGGGCCAGCAACACAACGAGAGGAAGAGATATAAAAAGAGTGAGTGTGCTGAGAACATGTCCAGAGATATAAACTTGCATGTATTCTTGCAAAAATCTCCAGATCTATGCCTACATACCTAAACCTAAAACGCTATGAAAAGCGGGATTATTGCGCAGACAAAGCAACAATTACATGCATATGATATATGTGCAGAAGTATCTGCAAGATTACTTGTTTGTGTGGCCTCTTGTCCAGGACACTCTTAAAAAAAGAGATTGTTAATCTCAATGAGGTTCTCCTGGTTAAATAAAATTAAAAACATACGTAGAAAAACATGCTTGCACCGTACTTGCTGGACTATTAAGCCCGCCTCTAAGTAAACTACATCAGCAAAGGTTTAAAACAAAATACCCTTGATGAGAGTCAAAACAGTCCATAAACTCTGCTCCGATAACAGCCCAACTCAAACATAATAATATATGAATTGGCCGCATTGGGGGGTGTAAACACTAGGGCTGTCAAAATTATCGCGTTAACACACGTAAATAAAATTTTTCACTAATCGCGTAAAAAAAAAAAAACAATGCGTTTAACCCATATCTGAATGACCCGCCCATGTATCCCATAATATCACTCAGAATGCCACGGACACATGCGTGTGAGATGGCAACAGAGCAGGTAGGCCCTCTGGGAATACAAGTTTTAAAAGAATACGCGTGTGACCGCGGGGCACTTGCTGTTTGCTGAAGTCTGCATCCTCCGTGGCCGCAGCGTTCTGACCCGGAGCAGCTGCAGCCGCTCTGGACAGCGGCTCCGCCAGCGGCTCCGCCAGCGGCTCCGCCAGCGGTTGTGAGCCGCTAAACAACAACACTGCGAACGGCGCCGCTGTAACGTGATCCAAGACCATACATAGTCTCTGCATGTTGTGAGCGTGCCTTTGCGAAACCTGTGCACGCAAATACACCGCTGAAGCTAACTGTATGGAGCCTCAGGAAGTGTCCTTGTCTCCTCCTGAAACGCAACTAAACTCGCTAAGTTAAGCTGGAGTATGTAAATTTTCCCCTTTCATTAACAGCTCATGTTGGTTGTGCCCAAAAGTAAAAGGTTGTGAGCAAATCAAACAGACTTAAATACATTTGGTATGAATGACAATGTGTCATTACATTTGATAATCTCATTGAACTTCAATTGGAGTGGATTTGAAATAGAACGTTAAAATGCGATTAATCGTGAGTTAACTCACCATTACTATGAACTAAAAAAATATAATCGTGTGACAGCCTTAGTAAACACCCTTTTCTTGCACCAAATCTAAGTGTCAGATACAGTCTGTTATTGTGCTCCAAAGTGTGCGTTCATGACAATAGTAAGTTAAGAACTCCTGATTGTTATAAACCTGTATAAGTGTTGAGTTAAATCAAGAGTCTTTATGTATATATGTATATGTTTCCACGTTGCCTGTGTAGCTGCATAGAGCTTTGCTAGCTGTACTGTGCAAGGTGGAATGTACACTCACCGGCCACTTTATTTGAGTACACCATGCTAGTTCTGGGTTGGACCCCCTTTTGCCTTCATAACTGTCTTAATCCTTCGTGGCATAGATTCAACAAGGTACTAGACACATTCCTTAGAGAGTTTGGTCCATATTTGATAGCAACATGCAGTTTCTGCAGATTTGTCAGCTGCATATCCATGATGAAAATCTCCTGTTCCACCACATCCAAAAGTTGCTCTATCGGATTGAGATCTGGTGACTGTGGAGGCCTAACCTTGCCTGCAAGCTGAATTCTCGCAGTATTTGTGACTTCACAAACACTCGAGAATACATCTTGTACCGCTCCCGCTTACACTTTTCGAGTCGAACCACTGGGTGTGCGAGCCAATCACGCGCCAGTCTGGGGGTTTAGGGTGGGATATCCGGGTTTGACGAAAGCAAGAAGTGCCGGGCCGAAGCAAAACAAACATGGCTTCGCAGGAGGACGGACGCGTAGCTGAGGCTATCAAGTCAGTTTTAGCAGAATCTCCAATTTCTTTTTTGAAAGATGAACAGCGAGAGGCGCTTTGTGCATTACTGGACGGCAACCTTGGTAGGCGGGCACACAGCGTCACTTCGCCCAATCAGCTTGAAGTATTCTGCTGCTTATCCCTCCTTTCCCCGAAAGGATTCTCCGGGAGAAATCCCAGATTGATATCGTGGAGAACGCGTTAGAGTTCTACACAATCATCAATCTGGCTCTTGCCAGGTTAGTGGAGGCCATTACAGTACAGGGAACTTGTCATGTTCAAGAAACCAGTCTGTGATGATTTGAGCTTTATGACAAGGTGTTTTATCCTGCTGGAAGTAGCCCTCAGAAGATGGGTACACTGTGGTCATAAAGGGATGTACATGGTCAGCAACAATACTCAGGTGGGCTGTGGCGTGGCAACGATGCTCAATTGGTACTAAGGGACTCAAAGAGTGCCAAAAAATTATCCCCCACACCATTACACCACCACCACCAGCCTGAACCGGTCATACAAGGCAGGATGGATCCATGCTTTCATGTTGTTGACTTCAAATTCTGACCCTAACATCCGAATGTCGCGGCAGAAATAGAGACTCATCAGACCAGGCAACTTTTTCCAATCTTCTATTGTCAAATTTTGGTGAGCCTATGCGAATTATAGCCTCAGTTTCCTGTTTTTAGCTGACAAAAGTGGCACCTGGTGTGGTCTTCTGCTGCTGTAGCCCATCTGCCTCAAGGTTTGACATTTTCTGTGTTCAGAGAGGCTCTCTTGCATAACTTGGTTGTACACATTCAAAGTTACTTAAATCACCTTTCTTCCCCGTATTTGTTTTTTTAATTTGCAGATACAACACTCTTACAGACAAATCATCAACCATCTCGTCAATGTCTCCCCTCTGCATATCATCGTGGCTCAAGTAGTGTTCTGGCTGACACTCCAGGACAGTGACAGCTTTAACACCAAGCACCTTATTCCTCCTACAGGGATTATGAGACCATAGTGGACATGTGCTGACAAAGAAGCTGTGGAATTTTGTGACAATTTTTGTTTCATGTGGATTGGCTCAGTGATTAGAGACATTGGCCCTCAATTATGAAATTTGCGTATGGCCAAATCAGGGTGTAAATGAGGCGTACGCAAAAAAAATTACACTTTTCGGCATTTATCAATCTGGACGTGAACGTACAGTATACACCAAGTCTGGAGGTGGTGTACATTTTACATCCTTCTCAACCTTTACCACAAAACGCCAAAACAAGCATGGAATTCAAGATTTGGAAAATTATAAGCTGCGTTTTCATTGGGCATCATATTTTGAAATTTGAATTTGCGCATCAGAAAAAGTCTAATGGAAACAGGCAAATTTTAATAAATCACAGTTCATGATGAGGACCCTCGTATGTTTCTTAGTTTTTAAATCTGACTTGTGTATAATATTTTCATCTGTATGTTTTGTAAATGTGAAGAATTTACAAATATGTTATACAAATACACTTGACTTACTAACTTACTAACTTACAGGGATGTGTGACCCATCTATTGCTTTGTAAATCTGTGGCAGGCCCTACGCTGCGTAATTACCCATTTGTTTTGCCTCATTCACCTCTGGCAAAGCAATGTGTTTTTTCCTTAGTTTAATGCATAAAGCCCCTTGAACGGACCAATGGTCTCCCTCAAAACTTTCTCAGCCACTGCCTTGTACTCCGCATGTAGGAGCGGTCTCACGGGCAGTGGCTCAGGGGCAGTGTGCAACTCCCAAAAGTTTTTCCCATGCGCATCTTTCTCTCTCACAGAGATCGCTCAGACGCTTCAGTTAATGATGAGAGCCACCACTGAGGCCGAGATATTAACATTAATTTATCATTTATTTATTTACTTCTAAAGTTCAAGAGAGATGAGTGCTGCAGTGGGTCTAGACACTAGGGAAAAAACGCGTATATATAATATAGCGTATATTTATTTTCAAACAAACAAACAAATCAGGAGTGCGTGGCAAAGGCTTTTTGAGGCTTCCAAACAGTATTCTTGGCCGACTTCCATGCGTACACTCGGATCTGGGCGGATCTCACACGTTCAATAAACTCACGTTGGATCTTGCGTATTTGGAACCCCAAAAAATTCCACCCTTTTCTGCGCACGTTTCATAAATGAGGGCCCTTAGCTCTATCGTGAGACTAGAAATCTGAGTTTTAACAGTTACCATAGTTACTCCACCAAAATGTTTAACTCTTTGGAATGTTGTATAGTCACATTATTCGACTATTCTATTCAACCCATACTTTCATCATATTTTTTATAGATTATTTTACATTACATTTGGGCGACAGTAGCTCAGTTGGTAGAGCATTGGCCTTCAGGCCTGAAGGTTGTGGGTTCAATTCCCACCTCTACACCTTCTCCACCGACTCCCACTGATGACTGCTGTCGTTGTGTCCTTGGGCAAGACACTTAACCCCACTTTGCCCAAAAGCCTCCACTGAAAGATCAAGGCTATGCTCACACTCAGAGAGCAGCCGCCCTCCTGTGGACTCACCACCTGCAGAGGGTCAGTGAGGGGCTGGTGCTATGAGACTTGGGTGGCATCTCTGATTGCCACCCCCCTGACCCAGAAATGGATTAAAGGGTAGAAAATGGATGGATGGATGGATATTTTACAGTCTAAATCATGAAATTCTTAATGGCAAAAAATACATCATAGTATTGTGACTTATACAAGTTTTATACTATGGGGAAATTATTATTATAATTGATAATAATAATAGATAATGCAACGTTAATTTTTCCTTTTTATCAAAAAAAGGCTTTTCTTTTTTACTGGACTTCAAAACACACCTTGCTATGGCGTGGAACGAGAGCTCCACATTGACTCCAGTCTTGGCACTGGTCTCCATAAACGGGACACCATATTCCTGAAAGTGAAGATAATTTGAGAAAAACACATGTTTCCTCAAAAAAGATGATGATGCATTGAGTACCTTGGCCAGCTTCTCTCCTTCTTCTGTTTTGACGACTCTCTCTGCGGCCAAGTCTGCCTGCAACACAACACAAGCATAAAAATAGATTGTAATTATTTAATATATTTTTCACAACAGCAATTGTTTTACAAATGCAATGGAGACACACATAAACGGGAGTAAATCCCTTGGACTCAGCACAGTGAAGCACTTCCTGGTTTGTGCATTTCCACGTCTGCTTGAGTGTGATAAGCCCATCTAAAGGAGCCTGCTATCGTCATGATCTTTGTAATGCACACAGTAGAAGAAGGAGGAAGCTTTGCTCACCTTGTTGCCGAGCAACATGATGACCACATCCTTTTGGGCATATTCGTGTATCTCTGTCAGCCAAGCCTTTACAAAGTAGAACAGAAACAGAAAGAGTGAGTCTATCAACACCAAACCGTTTACTCTTCCTCCATCAATCAAAACACAATCAATTCACTGTCACTTTCAAACAGTTTTTATAGATTACATCAAAGACATCATCAGACCAGCAGAAGTGATGAAAGTTTCAGTGCAACAACTGAAACTTTATTCATTAGATATGTTTCATAAACACAAACAAGCATTTACCCTGATATTGTCAAACGATGACTTATTGGTTATGTCATAAAGCAGGAGTAATGCTGTAGACAAAAGAGCGGAGATATTGTTAGTCCTCCACCAAACATGAGGAAGTGAGGTATGAAAGAGTAAAGGTCACCCTGGGCATCTCTGTAGTAGGCATGTGTCACACTGCGGAACCTCTCCTGGCCGGCTGTGTCCCAAATCTACCACAAAAGTAGAGAATTGTTTTAAAAGGCTTTTTACAACCTTCAAATCCTCAGGATAACATGCACATCAGAATAAATAAAGGACATATACAGACATCAACCTTTTTTCAAAACCGTCATTTTAAAATGTTTCTCTCTTTCCCCAGTACTAGAAAATTGCTGCTTTATGAATGAAGTGGATTGAATTCAAGGTGAATAATAACAGTCAATACGTATATATTCTCCTGTAATTGTTTTCCTTAGATGGGTATAGTTGAATGCGGTAGTGTCACCTTTTGGTTTAATCTGGTGTTTTTTATTCCTCATTTTGGATCCGGAGAGCAACACTAGTTTTTTTGCCCAAAAAAAAGATCTTGCCAAAACACAATAAACAAACCAGTGCTGGCAAAAAATCTAAAAATTCATTGCAGCTCTGTTAGTTAGAAAATCAAAAGATAGGCAGACTAATTATATAGCGCATTTCACAGACCAAGGTCAAACAAAGCGCTCTACTAATAATTTCCATTCTCGCCACACCCAGTGATGACAGAAGTGAGGCGCAAACACTGATGCTCTGATGCCCCTAACCATCATCATCGTTGCACTCTCTCATTACATTCAGGCCTATGTTTTTAGTGGAAGGCAAAACCGGAGCACCGGGAGGAAATCTAAGCAGATTTAGGGAGAACAATAAAGTACATCTAAAATGTGTATGCCAAGTATGTAACATATACAAAATGTTTTAATAAGATGAAGGCAGTCTGAAGATAACGTTTGATTTGGTCAAATCTTACTTTCACAAGACTTGTTCTGGTGGAATAAACCAAATGAGTAAATTTGTAACCCAGCTTTAAAAGGTACTCTGTGTAATTTTTACAGTTGCTCCAAATGATAAAAACGTTTAACCAATAACAGATGTGACCATTTTAAGAATATTTACCTCCACCATGTTTTTGAATTCTTGTCATAGGCTTAGAATTTGACCTATAAGTGTCCATGAGAGCTGGAGGACTCTCCATGTCAATGCGCCATCTTGAAATACAGTGGTTGATAAGGGACAAAAGGAGACATATTGTCCTGCGAAGCTACCACAGTACTGTAAATTACAATATATGATCTCAATGCTAGTAAGAACTACAGTGTTCCTTTAATGTTATGTCGAATATTTCACCAACAGGTGGACTAGAATGTCACGCTTTTCAAAACCGTTGTTTCTACTGTGGATGTAAGCATTCGTCTTACCTGCAGTTTGACTTTAAAGTTATCTACATCAAGCACTTTATTCTGTGAAGACAAACAGAAGCACTGTGTCAAGCATTGGTGCCCAAAGTGATTCACACAAGAGAAGAAAAAATGCACTTCAAAGACATGATACAAACATGTAATAGGCTGTTACAATGTAAAAGCATAACAACATCTTTAACACAAGCACATTTTGGCTTTTTATTAAAAACAAGTGCAAGAAAGTGGGTCCTCAATGAGGTCTTAAAAGGGGACAACATTAATTTCAATATATCTCTAAATCACAGCAGTCTTGGAGGACTTTCCAAAGCTGTCGATTCCTCAGCAACAGATCAAAGAACACAGGAGATTGGAGCAATAGGAGCGGGATGACCAAGGTCCATAAATGTTAATGAATCTCCCGGATCATCACTGTTCTGAGACCCTCCTGCATTAGCAAGGGACCAGAAAAAAAGGGGAAAAAGTGAGAAACCTCGGGGGAGCCCACATTGAGAGAGGGATTTGCTCCCATCAGACGAGCAAGCAGTAGATCCAGGAATCCGAATGTAGAACAAGGACTGAGGCTGTCTCTATAGTAAGATAATTTATGATAATAAATGTGGGTTTTTTGATAATATAGTAAGATAATTTATGACCCTCCCTTTAAACATTTCATATAAACTATATTTATTTATTGTTTATATGTATATGTAATATATATATATAAGTCATTGACAGTTCTCCATATGCTTCAGACAGCGCAGTGATGGGAGGAAATGACGGCAGACTGCAAAACGTACATTCACGCAGCATGAAGCACCGGGATACGCAAGACAGCTGCCTCTGAAGTGGTTCTGTATGCTGGCAGAGAAAGCCTGTTCACAACACCCACACCATAAACAAGGTCCTGGGATTAGACTTAATTACACAACTGTGAGAAACACGGCTGACGCTCGTACAACAGTCTCCCCCGTTTTTTAATCTTGCAGCCTGGTGGGGGTCCCAAAGGTATCTGCACCAGACAGGAGCCCAGAATAGGTCCAATGTTGTGATGTATATAGTACATGAATGGATTCCAGAGACCTTTAGTGGGCGTATAATTGCAAAGACACTAATAAACAGCTTCTAAACATGTGTGCTCTCTTAAAACTGCAGTATTATTGTAAAAGTGTACACGGTTGAGGTCATGTTCTAGTCCAGAGATCTCCAACCTTGTTCCCACAGGGAGCTACTCTTATGAAAAAAAAGGCAGATATCTACTCCTTTAGGCAGTCAATACTGTAGAATGGAAGTAGATTCTTTAATGGGTATTTAACTGTAAACCCTTGTTTTTTTCATGTTTTGTTAAAACATGAAACAAAGCATGAGTTGCCTTCTGTATCATGAGTTGCCTTCTGTATCAACTGTGCTTTATAAAGCACAGTTGATACACTGTGCTTTACAAATTAACATGTTAGGTTAGTTAGCTAATTAACAGTTAGCTGTCGATTCGAAATTTCCCCACTGTGGGACGAATAAAGGAATTCTTATTTTTCGGTTACACAGATCAGAGAATCAAACTGTTCAAACACAGTGAATGCAATGCTAGAAAACACATAGAGCAATTGCTCCATAAAGAGTGGTGGTGATATCACGAGACCATATTATCAGCTTCTTCAGTGAAAAGGCAAACAGAAATCAGTCAGACCATTAAAGCCCTGTTTAGACAGAGACGCTACAGAGACACTTCAAAGCAATTAGCAAAAAAAACCCTGGCTCCTTATTCGAAGAGCACAGTGTCTACGCAACAACAGTTTTAGCGACCGGCCAGTAGGGAGCAGTGGAACTTTACAACATGACACGCACAATCCCCACCAGTACAATCACTACCTCAACAACATCCTTCTCAGGCCATGGCAAAGACGTGAAAGCATGCACCAACATCATTCTGCATTTAACAGTAGCTGCCATTGTTGTTTCTGTTTGTTCTCAGCGACTGCGCATGTCCAAATGTACGTGCGGGGAAGTGGCGGTCCACTTGTGGACGTTGAGACTACTGTTATTTTTTGGCCCTTTAAAATGGCTTATTTATCATAATTTCTTTATTCAGACTCTAGGTCCGCAAGATAAAAAACAGAAAAAGAAACATACACAAATGAAAAAAAAATACAATTAGACCATATAAGATACTTATACGGTGCAATCATCACTCATTCAGCCATTAGAGGAAAGCCCCTTGTGAATGAATACGTTTATTTGGACTTCATATAAGCATATAAGGCATTTAAAATGTATAATTGTACAAGTGCACAATAATTTGAGGTTCTGTCAGCTACAGTATAGAAGACATTGCATCAAAAGGAAGTATGACTAAAAGGTGAACTTCCTGGACAGCATTTGCACCCATCACCAACAATGAGGAAACACAACAACACTTGAGCAATAGCAATGTGCTAATTGTGGTGTGTGTGCATTGCATGGCCACCTGCAGAAATCCCAGCATCTGTGCATTAGTTGCCATGGGTTTCTGTTTTTTCCCCCCTCTCCCCAATTATGACGTGAGAGGAGCTTGCATGCCGAGTAACTGCTACAAGGAAGCATGCCCAAAAATAGCCTGTCCATGTTACAAGCTGCCACAACACAAAGCCTGCGAGCCTGCCCTGTCTAACCGTGCAGAGAGGACAACCTTGCCATGCAGAGGCCACAGAATGTGTGAATAATTAGAGTCAAAATATCACTTTTTATTATCCACTAGTATTGTGAATAGATAATTTTATGATAGATTACCACGTTGTATTTGTGCATTTTATTTACTTGGTATGGACAGTTACTTTGGACAGACCATATGCACTACCTTTAGTGTGATAGCAACGTAAGACCATGCTTTTCAACACTTAAATAGGTAATAATTTTAATGTAAGTTTTCTGGTTGAAAGTAATCACTACATTTCTTTTACAGAGAAACTATGATACTGAAAAATCATTTAGCTACAAGATACAACACAGAAAACAGTAATATTTGAAAGTCATACTAAAAGATAATTAAAGTGCAAAACAAATAACATCTCTATGTCTCAAATGAGTCATCAAAACAAAAGCCATTGGAACAACACACTGTTGGTATGATGTTACCACATATTGCACAATAAATCATACACTGCATGTTTTGCTTGCAGACCATTGCCAAACACTAGCACCTTCAACATTTCAATACTTCAGCACCTGATGCACTACGCTTTTAAATTCATCTTCTTTTAATAAAACAAACAGGCATAATCACACAGAACAAAAAAAATCATATATCAAAATCTTTACAACTTTACTAACTAAATGTACCTCAAATAACACAAAACTCAAAATATTCTCTAAGTCTAAAATGAATGACTGAAGGACCCTCTCCGTGGTCACTATAATCCCACCTCTTCACTTCAACTCTCACACTTCTACACACCTGTGACAAACAGCTCAGCCGGCATGACTGCACACCTGAGCTTTGACAAATCAGTATCTGCTTATTCTTTCGAGATTGAATATGCAAAGTCAATAAATGTTATAATCCACTGTAGGCGATAAAGTGAGTGAGTTTCTACCCTCCGTGTTAAGTCTAAGCCAAGGGCAGAGCACGGAATCTGGCACGGATAACCGAGACTGTGTTTAAGTTGGTCCCACAGAGCCACCATGGCACAAAGTGCAGTTTGTGCTTACACTTTATGGAAAAAAATATCAAAATCATTAATCTAGTCCGACATCCACTATGGAGCCTTGTTTCAAAGACGACAGTGCCATTGTGCCTGCTAATGCATTACATTTTCCTCCTCCTCTTCCTCACTTCGCCATTAGTGTAAGTGCACAGTTCGACCTTAATTGGTTGAGGGGAAACAGTGGTCATTTGCATTGGCAGCCTTCATTCCTGTTCTAATAGTCTTACAATATTTTCAAATGGGACACGGGGGCTTAAGAACTGGAGACATCTGCTTGTCTGCAGTGTTCCCAGTCACTCACACGGTTGTGTAGGTAGCACCCGTCTGTCCGCGGCCCGTCAGAGTTCTGGATTGTCTTTCCATCTGCCCGAACACCCAGTCATCACCCACGTTGCACCGGCAACACAAGTGCTCTGTGAACTAGGCTGAATGTTTGTACATTTGGTGCGAGCTCAGCGTCATGATGAAGTGCGATAAGTGCTAATTGGGCCATGTCAGTGGTTAACTTGATCCTTTGTAAATATCATTGGGTTGTACGTACACCATTGTGCTCCTGTGTTGAGTTTGATGTATATTAAACGTATGTGTTGAGTTTAATGTACATTACAATATGTCAAAATATAATGTGCAAATCCGATTTTCAGAGTTGTGTTGGGTTGTATTCACACAATTTAATCCTGCATAATAAATAGTATTCCTTTAGAAAAAAAAAACAGTCTCTGGGCCACTTTAAAACCAGACTTCAATTCCCTTGACCACAAAATAATAAAAGGTCGAGTGCTTCATGGGTTTTAAAATGTTGTTTAAAAAACAGCAGCTCTTCAAGGACAAAGTAAAAAAGAAATCAGAAACCGTAAGAAAGACTATTCCATTAAGGTTAAAACTTATATAAATAGATATTAAAAACGCACTAATTTTAACTGGATGATAAAGTAAAAATGTATTCCCTGGGAGCTCAATCAATAGTACTTTTTAAGTTTCTTCAAGATATGAAACTCCTTTTATAAGATAAGATAAGAATTCCTTTATTCGTCCCACAGTAGGGAAATTTCGATGTTGCAGCGCACATATAGGACAGTAGTAAGAGCACACAGAGATCACACACAATATATACAAATAAGTAGTAGCTATGTTTCTTAGCTAACATAACTAGCTGTAGATGCTGAAAATGCTTCAATACAAAATCCTTCTCAGTCTTACATCTTATACAAACCTTATACAAATATATAGAATTTACAACCACGGAGTCAAAGTGCCTTTTAGGGTCCTATTTGTAGCTTAAAGGTTAATCTTTATTGTTGCGGCCTACCACCAGCTTGTTGCCATGGATATGTTATTGTGTTGCTTGAAATGTACCTTAGTATGACATTACGCTCGTGAACGGTGAAGAAATGCAGGAGCTTTTACTGCTCAAAAAACTGCATTTTTCCATGAAATTGAATGTAATCTATTTTTTAGTATTGCCCAAAATCCTGCCCTTAATCAAAACAGCAGTTGTCTCTTAGGACTTATATGGGGCACCAATCAGGTGCTTCTGAATTGCGCAAGTGGGTAGAGACCAGTCTTGCTCTTGATTGGCTCTTTGTTTGTTACAGGGTTGCTGAGAAATTGGCTCCAGATTATTGCCCATGGAACAGGGTAAAACAAATATAAAAATCAGCTTCTTCTGGAATACGCAAAACGATATGGGTGATGTCACAGTTTGTCCACTGCTTTCTATGGTGTATGGATGTATGTCGTAACGTCGCTTGTGGTGCATTTAGATTGTGTCCAATTAAACCTATCCACTTTATGGAACATTCCAGACAAAACAGTAACTGTCAGATGACGTGGCGGACTCTCCACCAGATAAGTAACGCAGTGTACCTTTAATTAAAATGTTCTCTTTTATAGCTAGTGGAAACCTTGATGCATTTCAGTGATGGTGCACACAACCAGCTGGGTCATTTTTGGCTGAAAGACAGTTGACTGGAAAAGTCCCCGTTCAGATAGAAGCCACAGGAACCCTTCTATGTACGTAATTTAAAAACATGTAATTCTATCCATGCACTTTGCAGATTTTGACCTAAAACAATAAGATAAGAGAAGTATTATTCCTCCCACAGTGGTAAAATGTTGCAGCGCACATACAGGACAGTAGTAAGAGCACGCAGGGAGCACACAAGATATACAATATAAGTAGCTGCTATGTTTCTGAGCTAGCTGTAAATGCATGTATCAATATATAAATATATCTCTACAACACAAATGCATCATCTTGACCACTTACCCTGAAGTCTATCCCCACAGTGGCTATGAAGTTGCCTCCCAGGAAGGCTCCGTCTTTAAAGCGCACTAGCACACACGTCTTGCCCACTGCCGAGTCTCCCAGCAGCATCACCTAAATGACATGAACACAATCTCTCTATTCCATGTGACAATATCAATATCTGATTTGCGTTGCCAAGGCTTTCTCTTCAGCAAACGACTACATGACACCAACTCATCCAGGGAGAGCACTCAAGAAAATACTCTAAAATGTCAAGCATTTTCTGAACAAGAGATGTCAAATGTCTGATTTTACTCTTGGGCTTTTAAGATGATGACACATAATAGGACAGTGCAATTGAAACGAATGCAAGTGATGCATTATCTTTTGAAAGGAAAAAGTCCTGACGATATGGCAAGAAGCTGAAATATTGATCCCACTTTGTAAAAGAAGATACTAAGGCTTGACAATCTTATCTATTTAAACAGCTTTAGAGCTTTGCAATTCATTTTGTTTTTAGTTTGTGGGTAAACTGTTTATATTTCCTGAACACAGCACAATTTAATGATTTCTTTTACAGTGGGGGCGAATGACTCATACTCTGCAAGATACAGTTAAACTCAATTTAGAATGATTGCTTATTGGATGATACCTGAATGCTCTGTCCAGGTGTGTCTAGCAACTGCCCTTAATCAATATTTGATGGGTGAGCAGCAACAAGTACCTCGCCCACAGCTAATATTTGGATTCCACTGAGGGCAAGGTGATGCCAAGTGTGGGCACATTAAGCCACAGTAAAATGGACCAGGCAATAAGCAGGCAATAATCGGTCTGGGGAAGGTTCTGCCTGTTTATGAATTCATTGCAATTAAATCTACTGCCAAACTACCAGGGCCACGTTTATTACCAAATTACAAATAACAGTAAATGATTAAAAAAAACAAAAAACAGTACACACCTTGAAGGAAATATCATAATACTCGTTAATGGACGCACATCTCTCCAGGACATATTTGGACGTGCCGTTTTTGGTTTGCTGCTGCTTGTCCGTCAGCGATGCCTTCCGTGAAGACATCGCTATAACAGAAAACAAGAAAACTAAAACAAATATTGGCCACAAAGCAACAAAAAATTAAAAATAAAGCAAAAATACACGCGCTGATGAGTGTTTTCCCTCTGGTCTTGTCAGTTACAGCCTGGACACAGTCAGCGTAAGGGCTTGGATAGGCGAAAGAAGCCGCGGTTCGTCTCTTCGCATACTGGAAAGAATACGCTGGGATGGAGAGGGATTCTCTCACCGAAGAAGCGACAGCGATGCAAAGTTAAAAAACAAACAAGGAGCAGGAGCAGCTGCAGCAGAAGCGAGGGGAGGGAGGGGAGAGGGCTGATATATTCACGCAGTCACTCCTCCTCCGCCAATCATTCACTCTCAGACAGAGGCGTAAACATTTCGGTGAGAATTCTTTCCCCCGTTCCATCCACGCTTGGGTTGATGGTTATAAGTGTTCGTTGACACCTCCCGTAGCGGTGGATCCTTCGCTCGTTCTGTCCCTGCGCGTCCGTCGCCTGTTGTGCGGCTGTAAATACGCGCAAAGAGCGAAGAGATGTTCTACAGGTGGTGGGTTCTCAAACATGGTGGCTGGCGTGTTTGACCGACTGACCCCGCTGTGGAAAAGAAAAACAGCGCAAACAGAACACAGCTGCTGGATTTCTCAGCAGATTTACATCACCGTTGCTTAAAACAACAACAACGACAAAAAAACACTGTCACTTAAAATAATGTACCATCATCATTGTGTTTATTTTATAATATAATAGCTGGGGTATATAACTATCACCTGTGAATAGTTGGTTTATTTTCCGCAGGTCAAAAGAGTCTTGTGAACAAATGAAGTACATTTCCAGAGGCATGTCTCTGTTTTGTCTTCCTGTAGCTACAATCAATTGTTGGCAGTACATTTGAAAGTACATTGCTCAGGGGTGAAACTTTATGTGTATGGCACTAACATGTTGATTTCTGGCTTTTCATAAACTAGTTGATGATGGGGAAATTCTAGACCTTTCACATATTTTTCTAATGGCTCTTGAATGTTGACTGTTTTTTGCAAATTAACATGTTGTCTTGATCAAAAGATCACGAATACAAGCAGTCCAAATGAATTTGGCTGGGCCCTCCCTTAGCATAGGGTGAGGAGCTCATGCAGTCGCACGTGAGGAGCTCGGGGTAGAGCCGCTGCTTCTCCACGTTGAGAGAAAGAAGTTGAGGTGAGCTGTGAGTCACTGTTTGACACTTTGGGTTGAGAGTGGATTGAGTGAGGGTGGTCCTCTCTTCTCTAAAAATACTTGCATGTGAAAACTATAGAACCAAACGGTTTTTAGAGTTGAAATTGGTCAACTCCCCCATATGGACCAATACCTATGTGTTCTATATTTGATTTGATTCTCTGATCTGTGTTTTCTGAGTCATCTGAGATAACTACTGTAGTGATTTAGGGCTATACAAGAATAGATTGTATTAAATTGAATTGAGAGCGAGGAACTTATAATACATGGTTAATTTAATACAATAACAAATGCAAATGACATGATGTAATCAGAGGGGATTACAAATAAAAATCCAATGAAAAAAACATGTATTGTCACATTTTCTAAAATCTTCTTTGTCCTGTCCTAAATTCATATAACTCTGGCTCATTTTGTTGAGAACACTACTTAAAATTCCTTTGCATGCACTGCGCTGTTACGTGTCCCCATGTTTTCCCTAAGGGCCCATCTAATCACATTAATTTGCAAGTGTCCAAAATGATTTCATTCAGCCATTAGAAATGGCGAGTGGGTGTTTTTCTTGTTAGATTTGTCGCCCCCATCTGTTCAAATAGAGGAACAGAAAGATTCAATAATATATTGTTGTGTGGTAGAAATTAGGGCAGGACAATCTTTAAAAACGTCTCTATCATGACAATGGAAAGTGCAATATGTGTGTGTTTGAGTCATGTGTTTGTCATACATACACTTTTGGTTTGTTGGTCGTGGTTTGTTCTTTCTACCAGGGTGAAGAGATGTTCTGCTCACTTCAGTTTAGTTCAGTTCAAGAAGGTCCTGAGTTCGAATCTCGGTTGGAACAGAGCCTTTCCGAGGGGAGTTTGCATGTTCTCCCGTGTCTACGTAGGTTTCCTCCGGGTGCTCTGGTTTTCCCTACCACTAAACAACATGGACAATAGATATGAATGAGAGAGTGAATGGATGGCGTTGATTGGGGGCTTCGATGTGCCAGTGTGTTCGGCGACTCGCTTCCGTCCTCATTGTGTTTGGAAAGATTCAAACAATATCTGAACTCTGAACATTGTAAAGCGCTTTGGGTGAGCTTGGTCGCCCAGAGCACTGAGCATTGGCCTTTGGGCCTGAAGGTCGTGGGTTCGATCCCACCTCGACACCTTCTCCACCGATGTCTGCTGTCGTTGTGTCAAGACACTTAACCCCACTTTGACAAAAGTCCCCGCTGAAAGATCAAGGCTATGCTCACACTTACAGAGCAGCCGTCCTCCTGTGGACTCACCAGCTGCAGGAGGATCAGTGAAGGGCTGGTGCTATGTGACTTGGGTGGTATCTCTGACTGCCACCCCCCTGACCCAGAAATGGATTAAGGGGTAGAAAATGGATGGATGGATGGTCTGTAAAATGCACTATATAAATACACATTACTTACATTATAAAGCTGTCAATTATATATAACACAAACACATAGACGCCATTGCTCCATGAAGGTGGGATGACCCATGGTCATAAATGATAATGAATGTCCTTAAAAGTCCCGGGTTATCGCTGTGCTTAGGCCCTGCTGCATGGACAAGGAAAGACTCCGAAAATAGACAGTTTTTGTAACTGAGCTCGTCATTACAACAATATGTAGAAGTCATTGATTTTCCACTTGATGTTATAGTCATCAGAGCAAATGTATCTTTTGGCCATGTGGCAGATGCTGAGTGGTGCTTCTGTGTTTTGCCTTGGTATAAAACTTGTGAACACTGTAAAACTCTGGTCATGTTATTTACAATAAAACATGCATACTACCACAGACTTCTGCACAAAGATGTCCTAAACTGTTAACTGTAACATTATACTAGGCAATATGTTGTTGGAGTATACACACAGTGCATGAGAAGCACCCAGTAAAATATAAAATAAAGATTACTTACAAAAAACAAAAACAAAAATACACAAATACGCAAAGCCGCAAAAAGTGAACCTTGTTATAGTGTGGGACCAGTGTATTCATCGATTCTATTTGAGTGATTCCTATCTTCATATACTGCTGAGGTGAGGGAACATGCTGACCTGTCACGAATGAAGGAGTAGGAGTCAAATGCAGAAAACGATGAAGAAAGTTTATTTACAAAAACTGATCAGGATAAATAACCTAGTATAATGTTACAGTTTAAAGTCTAGGATGGAATTGCCCTAAGGGGAATAATAAAGTGCACCTTTACTTTTACCTGCATAATGTAGGTGAACAGGAGACCAGGAGATGGACAGAGGTGGACCAAGGTACTGGAGTGGAGATTGGAGTGAAAAAAGGAGAGAAAGGAGAGAGTGACAAACCTGCTTTGCGTTCAGCAGAGGATGAAACGGAATTTAAAAGGTGCAAATTTATTCCAAATCAGCTGCAACAAACAGCAGAGAGGCAGAGGCAAACATGAGCTTAATTTCAGGCATTAGATGAAGACTTAGCTGGATCATGCCTGCAGACAGCCACATGGGGAATTTAAAATGTGCTGGTAGGGGGCCATCACCTTTCTGCCTTTAATCCATGAGAAGCCAGGAAATGTACTTATGTTTATACTGTGTTATGATAAGCTGCCTCAATATGTCAGAATATGTGCATGATAGATACAAAATATATGTCTGATTGACTGCCATATCTAACTTTTTTGTTTTGTTTGTCCCAAGAAAAATAATTAATTATCAGTGTTGTGAACAAAGTAGATCACTCCATGCTGTCTTCATCTTGATAGAAAACATGTTTTGCATTCTTGTGAGTAGCAATTTGACGCTCTGGGCTGAGAGATGATTGGATGAGTGAGGGTGTGACAGAGGACATTAGATATTTGCATGTGAAAACTAGTGATACAACCAAACAGAACTATTTATTGTCTCAACAATTTTATTTTGAGGGATAATATGAACATTAGTTGTTTTTTTATCAGCATCCCAAAATAATCTTATTACTATCTGACTGCAGAGATCCTCGTGTGCTTTGCATTCATTGGCATTTCCACGCTGCGTGGTGGAGCACAGCAGCCCTGCCTGTGATTCCACTGGAGTGTGAAGCGTCGTAATAAATGCAATGAAAGGGAAGGATGCCGAATTGTACCGCTGCATTTCATTCAAACAGTCTCCCACTTAGAAGCACGGTGGTGTCTGCTGAGCACATGCTGAGGAGAGGGACCAATAAACAATAAAACAATAAAGTATATGTCCTCCTGAGATCTCAATTCAAAGAGATGGATGTCGCAAGTGTTTAAATACATCATTAGCACAGATATTAGCTTAGAGTGCCTGAAGCAACCCCTCACTTTCTCTACACTTTGTAAGGAAAGACAAGTTTAATTGTATAGCACAGTTCATACACAAGGCATCTGAAAGTGCGTAACACTAGAACTCCCAGGGCAGTCAATTTCAGCTTTTCATTTTGGAACTGTAATTACTCAGATCATATACATGTTTGATCTTGAACTTTGTGACTTTTTCTGTATCTTTATGTAGTTTATTTCTATCTTTCAAAATGACTGCTCTGTGATTTCTAGTGGTTTCAGATTTCTGGCAGTTCTAGTGTTAACAACAAAAATAAACATTACAATCACACAAGGCATGGAATCATAGATAACTCTTTTTTATGTACAATTTTATGTATAATTACAGTCCATAAAGAAAGTTTTCAGGGACTTCAGATTTTAATCCAAAATTGAATAAGTTATATTTTCTCATCCATATACTTGCAATACCCCATGGCAAAAATTATTTACCTTTTGATTTAAAAAAACATCCTATATACGCACGAGTGATGAGTGAGTAATCGGTTGTGGACAGAGCTGCAGATCTGTTTACTCTGACCAGTACACAAACACAACTTGTGTGTTTCTGTGAACAGCAAAGAGCCAACATGAGGAAGTTCAGGAACATTACACCGGACTTTTTTTTATGTGATTAGGGCAGAGCAGAACAGAGCAGAGCAGTTTGTGGCCCGCTAACAGACTTGGTAGAAGCAATGAATTATTTTCACTTTTGAGTTTTAGTAGGAATGGGACACATGTCTATTGTCAAAATAGACTGGATTTACCAGAGTGCTTTGATAATTACAAGTCAATAGTGCATAAAACATTAAATCTCGTTGTGTCCACTGCTTGTTTTGCTCCATCAGATGATGTGTGTTTACTTAGTGTTTAAATTACAGCAGGAAAACCTGTGCTTACATTCAAGGGTAACCTTTAATGTGGATAAAATGTGCTTTCTTTTTGTACTTAGCTGGTGTGGATTATATACAGGTACAATATATAAGCCACCAAGTACTGTTATATATTTTTCTCTTTGCAAAATGGGCAGGTGTGATCCTTCATACTACCAAAACAATAGATGTTTTAATGAATCCTCCAAATTCACACTTTAAAAATAGGAGCACTATACAAGCAGTATTTTAAGCACTTTTTGGAGCAGTGACATATGTTTAAGTCAAGAAAAACATTTACATTTTGTTGGTAACTGACTCAGAAAACTTGACCAAAAAAAAAGTCTTGACCTCAGATAAACGTGACCCCAGTATAACGCGGTTCTCAGAATGCATCCATCAGCCTCCTGAAGCATGTTGCTAACAAATTCATGATCCCACTTTGCCTTAAGTCTGTGCTGGTTCTATATTTAGCCCAGACTGAAACCTTGAGATAGCTTTATTTAACCTTGGTTTGGTCTCGTTCTGCGATCCAAGCATCTTCCCCTTTGCTCGTCTCCCTGGAGCAAAGCGCAGTGTAATGCTACGTGACAGCTGTGTAGGCTCAGTGTACAGTGAGATGCGTGGCTCATATTTGCTGCATTCATCTGTACGTCGGCATTAGTACAGCACATACAGTAGCGGCTTATATTTCCTCGCCTTCCAAGTTATATAAATGTGCGTGTGATGCTTGGGGTCTTGCTTTCGAGGGCCGTACGTCACACGTGCTGCTGGGATGCTGATGATATGACAACATCAGAGCATCAATTTGGCCCTGTTGCCATGGTTATTGTCTCCATAGGGGCCAGCGAGTCTCACCTGGAGCAGATGATTCTTGTGCCTCCTCTGTTGACATTTATCAGGCTTCTTCTCGGCAGGCAGGCGTGCTCTTTGCTTGTACTTTTCTTTAATCCACAGGGCAGGATACTTCAACCTGTTTGATTACCGCAGCGGTTTGAATTGTTTCGAGTTCTAAGTTATGCCTACATGTATTTGAGATGGTACACCTGGGTCAAATTTAGAGGACAGATTTCTCAGTATTTTCGTGGTGGTTTGTTTAATTCATTAGGCCAAGAGAAATCTGTCCTCTGCATTTGACCCATTCGTCCCATGCCACTAGGGCAGCCAGGAGCAGTGCAACGCCCGGATCTCCAGAGGATTACTTTGGGATGCAAATAAGAGATCCTTTTTTTGTCCCACAGTTAATTTGTTTTGAGTCGTCTGGGAAACCGGAGTGCCCAGAGGAAACCCTCCCAGAAAAGAAAAGAAAAATGCAAACTCTACACAGAAAGGCCGGTAATCAATCCATTTTCTTCTGCTGTATCCGTTGCTAGTCGTGGGGGTAGAAGTCTGATCAAACAAGCCCAGACTTCCCTCTCCAGCTCATCTGGGGCAATCCTGAGACATTGCCCTGGGTCTTCTCCTGGTCTCCTCCAGTGGCACATACCCAGAATGTTCAGGAGTGACCTTAATTGGCTCTTCTCAACATGAATAAGCAGTGGCTCTACTCAAAGCTCCCCTATTTTTAAGGGAGTGCCTTGCCACTGTAGAGGAAACTTATGTTGACTGCTTGTGTCTGCAATCTTGCCCTTTTGGTCATTACCCCATCTCAGGACCATAGGTGCGGGTGGGACTATACTGCTTTGACCACAGTCCGATACATTGACCGCATCACTGCATCGATTCGTCTGTCTATCCCTCACTGTGAACAAGACCCCAAGATACTTGAACTCCTCCGCAAGAAGGACCTCTCCATGATATAGTCTGATTTCTTCCTTGACGTTGAGTTTGTTTATTTAGGGCTCCAAGACTGAGAATTGGATCTAGACTAGAATCCAGGAGATCTAGTCCAGACCTTGCTCTATCTTTAGTTAGTTAGTTTAAAAAAATAATAGTATGGCAGTCATAGTTTACTCAAATAAAATGTCATCTTATTAATTTAAGTTATTTTTGATGGAAAAACCTTATAATCAACTAAACGAACTTCTCTTACCCTAAATCCACTGCTCTATACTATAATGCACAGTTTTTGCTAAAGACAATACAATCAAACTGCGTCATGCATATGTAAGCCGGCACTGTGGAGGTTTTTTGTTTATTTTGTATTATTGTGTGTGTTGTGGTTGCTGTGCCTTTAATGACCCGCGTGCCATAGCTACCCCGTACCATCTGACTGTCACCAATCAACCGGGTGTCCCTCCCAATCACCGCACCTGTGTGTGAGGCAGGAGCTTAATGGTGCTTTCACACCGGATCATGTGTTGCGTCGACTTTCAATGCAGACGCGAGTTAGAGCGTCGAAATGCATGTGCGTCTTGGGATGCACGCACGGACTGCGCGGTAGAGATGCACGGCAAAGGCTCGGCAGAGGCGCAGGAGCGGAAAATCGATGCACGCAGGAGATAAATATTGCTGAGCGTTTCCTTGGGACGCTCGTGAAGCGACCAATCAGAGAGCCGCAAAGTGGTCACGGGGACATTAGTGGTCTGAGCGAGCAGACTCAACATACTCGTAAACAGCCAAAACAGGAGCTACACCAGGACTAAACCAGGGTTGACAATGAGGGACATAGTGCTTGTGTTTTCATGCTCCCGTGACTTTATGCAACTGAAAAGTGTTCGCCGATGCGGAAGTACCGTTTAATAATAAAATAAACGTATGGCCTACTTCCGTGAACACATAATGCTGTTGTATAAAGTCTCTGGAAGGTCTTTGGACACAGAGACGCTGCAGAGATGCATTATTGGAGACGAACTTTACACAAAAAGCCGCTAGCTTAGCTCCGTTAGCATTAAAGTCCGCCCGCTAGTTCCAACACTTCCGGCGGGCGCCACCGCAGCCCAGGACTTCTGGTATGAAGACCCCTGCGTCTGAAAAGTCGAGAATGTGCGTCTGGTGCGCGAGGCGTCAGCGTTCCGATGTGAAAGCACCTTATAACGAACAGTGGGAAGCCACGAGCAGGGGCTGAAGCCATGGGGGGTTGCCACGAGGAGGGGGAAGCTACGGAGGAAAGTCACGAGCAGGGGGGAGCCACGAGCGGGTACCGTCGAGTACCAATAAGTACCGTGAAGCGATCTACATGCAGCGGCTGGACTCATACCCCAACTGCGCAATAAGTAGCGGTCCAAGACGCGTTAACCCTCATAGCCTTTGGCCCCATATACGTGTGCTTTGTTCTGCTCTGGTGTGCTCTCTTCCCCCCAGAGGTCTACAGCCTAGGATCTGAAGTGGCAGCTGGAGGGCTACCATTTGTGTTATCGAGTGAGGACGTATTACCATTGAGACATACCGCAAAGCGACCTACACGCAGCGGCGGGGCTCATACCCCGCCTGCGCAGTAAGTAGCAGTCCAAGACGCGTTAACCCTCGGCCCCATATACGTGTGCTTTGTTCTGCTCCGGTGCGCTCTCTACCCCCAGAAGCCCCAGTCCATGGTCCAGAGTGGAGGGTGCATCCGCACTGGGGATAAGCGCCGTCAAGCTGCCTCTGGCTCTCTTTCAGTCTCAGCCACTGGGGGCAATCCCCACGGAACCTCCACACTTGCCTGGCCTGCCAGACACTCCTCCTTTCTGTTCAAAAGAAGAACCGTCTGGACACCTCTTCCTAGCCTATCATTTCACGATTTTACCCACATCGGTCCAATCACGCACCGAGAGGCGGGACTTCCTTTCACCTTTGAGTTGCTAATAACTCCTCGTATCTTAAGTTTTTGTTACAAAATCGACAGCAGTCGTTTACATTTGCACTAGCTGACATGCCGCCATCTCTTGTTTTGTGTTTACTGAAACGGCTTGGGTGCCGCTAGTTGCTGCGTCATATCCTGTGTGCATCTAATTGGTTGATGCAGTCTGTCAACCACGCCCACCGGGAATTCGCTGAGATCAAGCTCGTTCCCAGACTATATGTCTTTGAAAAAGCATATCGTTTGGCAGGCCAGGCAACCTCCACACCAGAGGTTTCTGGCTTTTAATGAAGGACTTTGAGAACTTTATCATTTTCATTTATGGATACTATAATTTTAATTGAGTTTTGTCTCTTTTTAGGAACACCACCATCGCTCTCATCTGCCATAATCAGTTAATTCAGACCTTTCACTTCTGCCCCCTTCATCCTCTGCAATTAAACAACTCCCCCCCATTACATATTAATCATGTATAACATCTCAAACGTTGTCAATTGTAACAATGGGGGAAGGGTAAGGGATTTTAGAGAAATATCACTTTGCAATCAACGAGCATAACAAGAGTATGGAAGTGCAATACTAAAGACATAAGCTACACTTTCTGATGAAAGATATTGTAAAAGAAAAAGATGGATTGGTGATTAAATTATACATTTGATTAGTCATGCCATGTGTAAAAAATAAAACAGACAATGAAGATGAGGATGAAGGATTGAAGTGCCTCCAGTTATTTTGTGAGAGGCACGCACCAATTTTAATGTCTCCTTGTTAAATGTTCATGTTGGCAGAAAGCAGTCTTGGGTGAGTGCTGTAATGGGCCTGTATGAGAGAGCATAGCTTATCTACAGCAACCATGCGGGATATAATCACGACTAAACTCTGCTCTACGTGTCTCCATGGCAACTGCTTCTAAACATAATAGCGGCATAAGAAGTGTCACATAAGAAAATCAGTTACAGTGAGATGACTGGGACCTAAATGTGGCTGCAATTCTTCAACATATGCTAAAAATGACAAATGAGATACCATTTTCTGTTTGACAGTATAAATATTACTGTGAATTTTTAGATGGGATATTTGAGATGCTGTATTTTTTGTCGAGAGTTGTGTTGCTCGGTAAGCTCAGACATTATAAACTGATGTGTCACAGAGGCAGAACGTGAGTCAGTGTGGTGATCCTTGTAACAAATAAGCAAAATAAAATATAATAATTAGCAACCTGCAACCAAATCCATGCACTAAAGGAGGAAACTGGCTTTGAATGGTAATTAGCAATGGGGATAACATAATAGCAGCACGGTGGGTAGTGCTCATGTCTCACAGCAAGAATGTTTATGGAGATGGATATATGGGTTTAAGAAAACCATTTACAATTAAATAGAACAAAACTTTGTTTAAAAAAAAAAGAAAAACATACAGCCAAGAGCTCTGAACATAATCTCCAGAGGAAAGCCACCTGCTCTGGAGCTTCACCCACATTGCATAGTCTGGTGTGTGCGTGTAGGTGTCTTGGTGGTCTGACTTGGTTTTGTAACTTTTCCCTAGGGCACCTGTGGCTGCCTAGGGAAAAGTTACACCAGTTGTCTATTGCCAAAATATGAGATTAAAATAGTGTCCATTATGTTCAACTATATAGAGGGAAGTGGTGACTAACTTTTTGTGCTGGTAATGCACTCAACATTTATTTTTGGTCAATATTCTCATCCCTTAGAGCTTGTAAATTCAGAGGAAATTCTTGTTATCATGTCATTTTGGCTGTGTACTTAGTAACACCCTCCTATAATGTAAGTGCTAAATTTAAGCATTAGCAACAGTACGACAAGAAGGCTCCTTATTTTTCCATGGTGGGTCGCTGTGGGAGTTATAGCTGTGAGCAAAGTTCTGACAGCACTGCATTAAAATTTAGGCAACCGGGCACAGGCTGGTTCACATACAGTATACAGCTTCAGCTTATCCATTTAGCTCCACAAGCTTCAAACACTCAATAGACAGGAAATACAACCCAAGTAGAAAATAGTCAGCAGTTTTAATATATCGACACACTCCTGGTTGTGACAGATGACATACATGCATCGTCTAGAATATTATAGAAAAATAACATTTCTATGTGCAAGGTTAACAAGGACACTTAAAACAAACTCAAGAGTAGACAGTGACTGAATGTACCACAATAATATCAATCCAAAAAGAAATTCTGTGTCCTTATGTGGTAGTATCATCACATAGTAAACTAAGTTGTACAGGCATCTTATAAATGTGCACCTCAAATTAAAAGCCAAATATACATTTTCCACAATTGGGGCAATGATAAAATGAAAAATAAAATTGTAAATGTTTTCTTTTGTTGCTTAAATTGACACAGAAAAAAATCTCAAACATTAAATTTTGCTATTATCTAAAGACTCAACCCCCTCAGCTTTTTCTTGTACTTTAACAGATTGTTTGTAATAGATTGCATTGTTGTTAGCCAATTATGTGGTGCACCATGTAACATTGTTATAGTCCAATCTAAGCACTTTCCTGATCTGTCAAAGTGCTAATTAAAAGGACAACATGTTTCAGCTATTCCAAAAAAGCAAAACACAATCACAAAATGATATGTCACAGATTGCCAGTATTGAAGTGCTCAGGGACCTACTCTCCCAGGTCACTGATGTGTCTGTGCTACAAAGACAGTGCAGGGACATGAAATTAACTAAATGAAAATGATGATCTCACGTCCCACAATACATGCCACAGCTTCACAGTAAAGTGCACTTAATCCGCCTGTTCCACGCGGTGCTTAAAAATAAGCACAATAACATTAGTACAAAGTCCTGTTCTCGTACATAATGGAGACAGAACAGACACATGTCTCTTGTTGACATGTGACGGCCTGCTTTTGTTCGAACAGCTCGACACAAAGCAGCATGCTGCTTTACTGTGCTCTGTCACTACTGTTGAACCATTCAAACCACAGCCGGTCACTGCAGTGAACGTCTTATGTGCAAAATCACAGTCCTGGAGTTTCCTCCTGTTACAGCCTCCGTGTTTCAGTGCAGAAACATGGTCTATGTGCTCTCCAGCTCTAAGCTGGCCTCAGACTGACCTAAAGACTCACAGCTGACTCCAAGGGCAGACATGCCTCTGTGCTATCCATGATGTCCAGTTTGGATGCTACCTGATCCGCCCATCACTCTTCACTGGGCCCAGTTCAGATTTGGGGTCTGGGGACAGGGAGCTCCACGTTGTTTGAGAACATTGTGGCAATGTGCTGCAGGAGGAGGTCTGAGTGGCACACATGTCCCCAGTAACCCAAAACCTCTCCATAAGGCTGTCTAGCCAGCTTTCCAGACGTTTCCCCACCAACTGGGCATTTTGTTGGGCTTTGAGCATGAGGGGCTCCTGAGGGGGCAGCTTCAGCACAGTGCTCAGCTGATCAAAGCTCTGCTCCAGATACTGGTTACCAGGAGGCCCTGCCAGCAGCCAGCTGTCCTCTCCTGCAATCACACACAACCACCTAATGTTAGCCTTCATCTGACAAGGAACGTGTGCGCAGCAGGTGATAGAGATGACAGCCTTACCTTTGCGCAGTGGCTCTTTGTCTTTGAAGCTCAGGGGAAGCACTAAGAACTGGACTTGGGCTTTACGCTCCCACTGCTTAAGCACCATGACTGTCCAAATACCTGGACGGAGAGGGTGCTGGAGTGGTGGTTTGTACTGGGTGTACTCTGCGTCTACATCCACTGTGATGTCGTAAGAAGCTGCCACCACTAGAGCAGGGTCAATCCATACAATGGTGGCTGTGAGGTTGGGCCCTCGAGCCCATTTCTGCACAGCTAAGGGCTCATCCATTGGGCCAATGATACCACCAAAGTTGCGAAATATTCTCTCTTTTGGATCCCACTCTGTACCAATCTGTAGGAGAACAATAGAAAAAAAAAGACATTCAATTCTATTCTCGGATTTGATGGAATATAGAGTACAGAAAACTACACCTACTTCCAGGCTCTTGAGCTTCTCAAACTCCTTAAGGTCATTTTCAAAGACCAGTGTGGCCTGTGGAACAGCCCACATCTCCAGTGTCTCCCTGACGAGAGAGCCGACTGCCTGGACCTCCTGCTGGACCAGGTAGCCTTGGAATCGGTCATAATGGAAGTACACACGGACAGACACAGGGAAACCAACTGGCTCAAACCTACAAACGAGTGACGAGAAAATCAGTGCTATGTTTTTAAACAAATGCCTCTGCAAACATATGTGAGAAAATGTGGTGACCTGCAAGAGTCCCTGTTCTGAGCAGTTCTGAGGTTGTTCAGGGCCAGACGGAAGAAGGCAGAGTAGGCGGTGAGGGCCACGTCACTCAGGGAGCCCACACCGTCCAACTGCTCAAACAGACTCTCCCAATATGCCTTGACCGCCACAGTGCCTGGAGCGTACTGCCCGTACAGGTGCGTGTCCAGGATTTCGATGGCCTCCTGGTTTACGGATGACTCAAACTTACGAGCAAAAAAGGTCGGACGTGCCAATTGCTGAAAAAGGATAGTCAAAAAATCAATACGGAGTCACTGAATACTCTAAAGATCAAATGTTCTGTATTATTTAGCAATAAAAAAAAATTATGAGACTATTTACTTTATAATTTCATATTTTAGAATGTGAAACAAAATCTTCTGTTGAACATATGGTGAAAGTATCAAGAGTAAAGATTAATGCTATCTTACTGCCCTATCTATATGCTACGAATAGAGGGACATTTTGGAAGAATTGGTTTTGTTTTTACCTAATTACATTGGAAAGAACTTAATTATCCTAAGAAATTACTTGATCTTATTTAGAGGCAATACTTTTGCTTAAAAAAGCAGAAAACTGCTCAGAGTGTGAGGGCTACTATTAACCCGGCCTCTGTAGCAGATAAAAACAATTCCAAAAGAATTTGAGAGCTGACACTTGTGGCTTTCAATAAAAATTGAATGAATTATTATAAACTTTGTGTTGAATAATACAAAAAATATACAACTTCCACACAGTAAAGATAATGAAACAACCAAAAATAAAGTGAGACTAAAGCCTTGTTCTGACCGGATCATGCATTGCGTTTACTTTCAATGCAGTTAATGGTGACGCACGTTCGAGCGTGGAACTGCATGTGCGTCTCGGGATGCACGCACGGACTGCGCGGTAGAGACGCACGGACTGGGCGGCAAAGGCGCAGGAGCGGAAAATCGAGATATTGCTGAGCGTTTCCTCGGAACGCTCGTGCAGCGACCAATCAGAGAGCCGCAAAGTGGTCACAGGGACATTAGCAGTCTGAGCGAGCCGACTGAACATACTCGTAAACAGACAAAACAGGAGCTACACCAGGACTAAACCAGGGTTGACAATGGGGGAACTCAGTGCTTGTGAACAAATGCGTTTTCATGCTCCCGTGACTTTATGCAACTGCTTCGAAGGTGTTCGCCGATGCGGAAGTACCGTTTAATAATACAATAAACGTATGGCGCACCTCCGTGAACACATACTGCTGTTATATAAAGTCTCTGGAAGGTCTCTGAACACAGAGACGCTGCAGAGCTGCATTATTGGAGACGAACTTTACACAAAAAGCTGCTAGCGTAACTCCGTTAGCATCAAAGTCCGCCCGATACTTCCGGGGGTGCCACCGCTGGCCAGGACTTATCTGGTCGTAAGACCCCTGCGTCTGAAAATTATAGAATGTGCGTCTGGTGCGCGAGGCGTCAGCGTTCCAGCGTCGGTGGTGTGAACGCACCATAACACGTTATTTTTATAACATAATTATCAACACAATAAGTTGACAAGAATTTGGCAAAAGAGTGGCACCACTGTGTGGAGATTTCTTTTTTATCCACTCTCAGCCCAAAAACAGGGCTCTTTCTTAAAGAAGCTATACCCTAAGCCAGCCATTCCCAAACTCAGTAACACCGAGGCCCCCTTAAAAATCTGACGGGTCTGCGTGGCCCCCCAAAATAATAACCAAGAAGACAACATTAAGAATAGGCTCTTCTGGTTATTTTATTTTGGGGAAATAGCCTCTGCTACAAACATTGTAATACAAAAATGATTACAGTGGATTATTCAAGTCAAATAATGAACACAAATATTTTAATATTCCAAATAAAACATTATAAATTTAACATTAAATAATAATTTTATTTTTTTTATGACCTCCCGCGGCCCCCCTGCAGTACCCTCGCGGCCCACCAGGGGGCCGCGGACCCCACTTTGGGAGACACTGCCCTAAGCTATACAATAGGTCTGGCATGCGCCTCCTCTTCGGCGACCCCGCTCCCATCTCTGTGTGGAGTGAGAGGACAAGTGCCCAAAAATAACAATTGTAAACCGCTTTGTGACTCTGGTCTGTGAAAGGCGGTATATAAATAAAGCTTACTTACTTACTTACTTACTTACTTACTATACCCAATTTTTTTCTAAGTAGTTCATAAAAATGCTTTTCACTACATACAAGTTGTATCATAATACATAATTTAATTGAAAACTTGAGGTCATTGATTCCACTGTGTAAGAATTACAAGCAGTGAAAAGTGCTGAGTAGAGTCTTAGCGGGCCGTTTGTTCTCCTCCACTCACAGAACGAGCAGCGAACAGCCTGCGTCCTCTAGCCTCTACAGCGCTGCTTAACACCAGGGCTTCGACTTCAAAATTCGAATATAATTCTAAAATAAATTAAAAAATTATATATATATATTTTTTTTTTCAAACAAATATTAGACAGCCCTTATAATTCGAAATGCATTTAATGACTGCAAATAAAATAGTTAGCTCCCAAAGGTTTCATCGGGACATGCTAGGCAGGTAACAGCTAAGCTAGCTAGCTGTAACTTCCGGGTTTTTCGTGATCGCTTTTTGTCACTTTAAAACAGTATTTTTGTCATGAAAACGTTGACAGCAAATTCTGAAATCGTCCGTGCATGTGTGTTAAGGATGTATATGTATACTGTATTGTCCGATTAACGTTTAATGGTGTTGATTGATTGATATGTATTTGTTTATTGAGCGTGGCTAGCTCCGCTAGCTTCTCTACACAGACAAGTGTGCAGAAAAACTGCACAATGTAGTGACAGGCGCTGATAACTTGTTGTACTTGCGGAGTAATGGCAGTATTTTACACACCTGAATTACAAACAGAGATTGCATTGGGGCTGCGGTCATTATTGGTTTGAGAGTTCTGTTATCAAGAAAAAATGATTGGAAGAATTGCATTCAAGTCAATGGAGTCCTGCTGCTGTGAGGAGCTGTATAATAAATTATAATTAAATATTAGAATATATTCTAATGTTTAAATTAATACACTCGGACGCGAAACTAATGGTATTCTTTTACTTATATATTTTGTTAGCAGTGCGTTGCTTTAGTGCCATTTCATCAGTGATTGTTGTACAGCTTACAAGTTGCGCTAATGCTAATGTTAGCATACGTATCCGATCGCAAATAAAACTAGGTGGCTCCGTGTTATGAGAGCGTAGGGGAAATGAGAAGCCTGTGAGCGAGTTGGGGGGCGGTGCTAAACATTCAAACATTGCAGAAACGGGTGTAGTGCCTTTAAGTAAGCAAAATAAAAAAACATGACTGTTTTGGGTTGTTCTGTTTGTTTTTTCACAACATTTTACTTTAGTGCACAAATAACATGAATTGTCAATGCAAACAAAATTTTAGGTACCTGAGCTTTATTTCAGTGAGTTTTTGCTGCGCTTCTGGATGAAACACGGGGGAGACATGGGGGAGACATGGGGGAGACATGGGAAACAAAACAGGCAAGACCCGCAAGTGCAACAAGCTGGGGATTGTTCTGATTGCGCGTTCATGGTTCTGTCCAACAAGTCTATGGTCCACGCTTGGTACATGGCCACGTTATAACTGCGCGTTCGCTGCGGCTGTCGTTACAAACCGGCTCCCGAGCTCAGAACGGAGGATGTAAATCCCGTCCCAAGTATGTAACGCAAACAACAGCCACAGTCACAGATTTCACAGAAATTATATTTTCAGCGGGAAAAAGTCGGAATTCACAGATCCTCCGAAAATTCTCATCCCTGATATATATCCTGAGGCATTTCATTGGGCAAGAGAATTGATCAATGAAGAGAATTGGTAAAAAAAGAACAACAGACATGTCCGCTTTCCCAGCCTCAAAAGGTAGAAGTGCGCAACAGCGCTCCCAAATCGAAAGGTAGAAATGCGAGAACGCATTCCCGGCCTCAATGGGTTAAAGGACCTTTATTAGGAACTTTGACAGAAACGGCACAAAATCTGTTTATGAGGGAATAATGTTAAAATGGTGGTTAAAACTCAAAAAAGTGAATTTTGCATAACAAATGGCAGGCCTTGACATTAGGCTTTGTCAGCAATCATTTATATTTTTACTTGCTCATTGTCAGAAGGAACTTTCCCAAATATTTCTCAATACAATGAGTTAACAAGAGTTTGGCAAAAAGAGGAACTAAATGTGTGGGAAAAAAATCCACTCTCAGCCCAAAAAGTCAAAGAATTACTCATTACTCATACTCTTAGGTATACAAAATAAAAAACAAGTCGCCTGTTGTGGTGTGTTCTGTTTGATTAGTTCCTGTTCTCGGCCTGAATGGGTTAAAGCAATACTAATGTGAGCTAAACATTACTTGCCCGATTGGGCAACTTGCACTTGTCCGTCCCAAATCTTTAGTTACCCCGGGAAAACGGGCAACCGTTAATGACGAGCCCCGCCTTAGGGAAATTTGTCCTCTGCATTTGACCCATCCTGTGGCCACTAAGGCTTCCGTCAGGAGAAGTGGTCGCCGTGGTACAGCGCCTCAGGGATCCATCTCCAGATGTTGCTACTCGGCTTGGTCAGGACTACTGGAGCTGGAGAATTTTACCTATTAGACAAGGCTCCTTCAAAAGGGTTTTTGCTGCACTTACCTGGATGCGGATCAGATCTTGTGGTTTGAAGTCATTGGGTGAGCAGCCGCACCAGTCCACAATGTGTTTGTACTGGCATTTGCAGCCCAGCTTCCTGTTCCAGTTGGTGACACGCAGGTTATTGTCGATCAGCGAGTCACACATGTGGCTATTTCCCAGCACTGTGTGGAAGAAGGACTGCGGGGGGAAACAACAAAAAATAAACATTTTGCTTGATTTAACTAGATTTCTGTTGCATTTTGTTTACAACAAAACCCAGCGCCCTTGAAAAGCATAATTAAATACTTTGAAATCACTGACTGGGAAAGCCAAATGTCACGAGCCTGAAATGACCTTCCCAGATGAGGTGGTTGAATCAACTTTTCAAAACAACACTCTCTTGCACAATCCTGCAGAGAAACTCGCAGCTTGCTCACCTCAGCCGGCAACAGAGCGTAGGAATAGAACTGCTTGAGGCCTGTCACGAGGGCGTCCTGGGAGCTCATGACGTACTCCACAAATCGGCGAGTGAGAGCAAACCAGTCAGACCCCCCAGAGACCTCCAGGCCCTCTGGGATGCGCCGCTCGCCCAGACGCCACATGTGGTTATCACATTCGTGGAACAGTCGGTCCAGCCCTTGCTTCTTGATGAATCTGAGTGGGATTAGAATAAATGGTGATTGGACTGCATGATGGAAGAATGGGTAATGTAGGAAGGGTCATGGCAACAAACCTGGCGTTCTCCCTTCCGTGAGACTTGAGGAAGTTTTTGTCTCGGTTTTGTGTCAGAAATTCAACCAATTCACTGTTTGTTCTGCAGAAGAAATTATGAAGAAATGTTGAGTACAGAGTGAGGAACGTGACAACATATCTAGGGCATGGATTTTTTATTGTCAAAATTTGAAAGAGCTAAAAAACAACAACTAAACAGTGCATAAGGTAATAAACAAAAGTAGGGATGCACCTACACCACTGTCTTCAAAACCGACACAAGTACCTTAATTTGAGTACTTGCCGATACAGAGTACCAATACAAGTACTAGCAAAGGTTACTCTTGTCCGTTTGCCACTAGCTTGCTTGCCGCTAGCTTGCTTTCTCGCTGCAGACTTTCAGAGATCACCATGGCAACACGTGTAGCACAGCCGTCGTGACGCTAATGTGAATTAAAAATGTGGGTATCGACTATTATGATACGAGTACGAGTAGGAGCACAAGCCTATGGTATCGACCCTATACCAGTATCGATATCGGTGCATCCCAAAATGAAAGTGTTTATTTTATTGTTTTTAAATGCAACTCAGTTTCAAGACATGGGATTCTAGAAGTAGTAATCTTTATTTATTTATAAATAAATAATGATTATCTAGTTTTAGAACTGTTGGGCGCCAAGCTAAATCCAATTACATTTATCATTACTTTTTTATCTGGCATTTGCCACAGTGCAATGAGTCACCAGATGTCTTCAAATGTTAAAGTCCTACCGGGTGGGGAAATCGGTGGCGCTCAGATTAATGAAGTAGTCCCACTTCCAGTCCATCATAGCAAGCATGTCCTGCATGCTACGGAGATAAGCCTTCAGGAGACTGGCCCCGCCCCAGATGGTGACCATGCGCCATGGTGTGGCCCGGATGTTGGGGTACTCCTGTGCAATCTGCAAAACCTCCCTGTGCATGTAGCCAGACCGCTGCCAGGGAAGGAAAATGTGAAGGAGGATTGCATTCACTCAATGTTTTTAAATGAGGTCAACAAGATGTTATACAGAACAAAGTACAATACTTGCTGGACTATTAAAGCTGCATTACCTCACTTTATTTTTGAATTTATTACCAAAATTCAATCCATATCCATATACATGCAATGCATTGGGATATAGGTCCTTATGAAGAAAAAGTAGCGCAGATTTGTCCTGGCGTGTCATTTTATTTTAGATCGAGTTTTCGTGCAACAAGGAAGAGGATTTGTTTCGGGACCAGATTGTGACCAATCACAGCGGACCACTGGCCCCCACTTTGAGAAAAGCTACAGGTCTCTTGTTGGCACAGACAGCTGAGGTAAACAAGCCACGGAGGCTAACCTGAAACTTCCCGTGTCTTCGTTACCGGTTAATGCTTACAGAGCGAAACAGCCATCCAAAAGAAAGTCTCGTTCCTCCCCCTCCCCGGTTCTATCGTTCTACGGTCACGCCATCCACGTTCAAATGTGCGATCCATATTGTCAGTAAGTAAGTACGTTTTTATTTATATACCGCCTTTTCACTGCAGATCTGAGTCTCAAAGCGGTTTACAATTGTTAATTATGGGCATTTGTCTCTCACTCCACACAGAGATGGGAGCGGGGTCGCCAGTACAGGAGGCGCATGCCAGAACTATTGGACATATTTTTAGTGGTAGGGGAAACCGGAGTACCCGGCGGAAACCTACGCAGACACGGGGAGAACATGCAAACTCCACTCAGAAAGGCCCTGGTCCGACCGGGATTCGAACCCAGGACCTTCTTGCTGAGAGGCGAGAGTGCTATCCACTCAGCCACCGTGCCGCCCGTTTGTGAGACGTGAGCTCCTTAAACAATTAGCATGTGAGCACAGGCTGAGGGGGAAGGGGGTAGTGGGGGGCGTAAGCTCCGTGAGTGCGGGGAGGGTGAGCAGAAAGAGCGAGACCATCGCTCACGTTAAAAAATGTCCCAAAGTGAGTTAGTGCAGCTTTAAGCGCACCCGTATATAAACCACTTCTGATACATTTCAAAAGAAAGTGTCCAAAACCCTTCCTGCATCCCAGGGGGTGATCTAATAAAATTGTTAATACAATTGTGCAGTACTTGCTGTACTATGACTGTAGTTGCAAGTACTGTACTGCCAAACACCAACTCAAGTATCAAAATAATTGTCGATTGCACCCCTAGTATGATCATGCAATTCCTTCAGAACTTTCTCCCATGATACTGCTTGTAAAGAATCACTTGTTTATACCTTCTCATCCTATGTCCTTACCTCTTCATTGTTTTTGTAATTGGTTTTGTTTTGCAGTTCTGTGTGAAATGTGTTATAAAAAGATCGTGTGCCGCTGTCCTGGAAAATCTGTCATCCTCCCAGTTTGGAGTCTACAAATTTTGGGTTCACAACACAAACGACCTTTCCGGATTGACAGGTGCGCCAGTGACACACTGGGGCCCACACACCTATGCTCCTAATGACCAAACGCAAGCTTCTCCCTTTGGGCCGCTCATGACAGCACATTTTTCCTTGACTAAATCCAGCCCCTAAGAATAAGCACTCTTCTCTCTATCCAGGCTAATCCCTTTAACCACACTGAGGGACTGCACATATAAGTATAACTGCCAGAATGCAAGAGCAGGGAACTCTGAACAGGAAGCGCCAAGCAAAATGTTTTAGAATATATGGAAGATCAACTGTTTTTACGGTCAATCTTCCCCATGTTTAACCTCTTAAACTCTCAGGCCTATTCCCATATAAAGGGCTCAACACACGAGAGGCGACATCGCATCGCCTCCATTCATTTTCAATGGGACGTGCGTAGGCCTGTCACGATAACAAATTTTGCTGGACGATTAATTGTCTCAGAAATTATTGCGATAAGCGATTATATTGTCGTTCTGAGATCATTTGCATCGATTACAATGATCATGCAGGTACACCTTTTCAAAGAGAAATAAACTTTTATTTTTAACGAATATTTAACGCTAGAACACAATAAATTTACAAACAACCAAAAAAAATAAATAAAATACTCAGTCTCTTAACAAAAAATGACCAGGATTAAAACTGCCAGGACCTTTGTAAAGAAAATATGAAACAGATGCCTCAAATGTCAATAATTTCTCAGACTTTATGGCAGATTACGAGAAAGAAATACCAACATGTTGACTTTGTGTGGCTTAAGACAGGATCTCTCAGGAGTAGTCCCACCTCCCCACACACCAGGCGAATGACAAGTGACTGACATGTGGGTTCACCAATGGGGCGTACAGAAGTCCTGCTGCGGTAGCGCCCACCGGAAGTAGCGGGGCGGGCTTTGATGCTAACAGCTAAGCTAGCGGGTTTTTTGTGTAAAGTTCTACTCCAAGAATGCAAGTCTGCAGCATCTCTGTGTTCAGAGACCTTCTAGAGACTTTATATAACAGCAGTATGTGTTCACGGAGGTGCGCCATAAGTTTATTTTATTGGTATGGTACGGTACTTCTGCATCGACGAACACGCTAACGCTAGCTGCGCTAGTATAGTCACTAATCAAGCCTGAATGAGAACTCAGCTGCCGGCATATGTTCACAACTACTGTGTCCCCCATTGTCAATCCTGGTTAAGTCCTGGTTTAGGTCCTGTTTTGGCTGTATTTTGTATTTTTGAGTAATTTCCGTCTGCTTGCTAGACCGCTAGTGTTCCCGTGACCACTTTGCGGCTCTCTGACCCGAGAGAGACGGGGGAAACAAACAAGCATGCAAATGGGATTTATCGCGGCCAGAAAAGTTATTGAGCAAATTTTATTTATCGTGCGATTAATTGATTTATTGACTATCGCGACAGGCCTAGACGTGCGCGACATAGCGTCAATCGCTAGCGAGCCTCCTGCTCAGCGACGGGCGAAAAACGTGCGTGTGAAATCCTCCCGCTCGTGCATGTATCGTGCACGCGCAGGTCAGCGACGCGATCCCAGAAAGTTGAAATCGGCTCAACTTTTCGACGCTGTCGTCAAGCCGCATCGCGCCCGGTCTGTCATGTTATCTGAGCGACAGCGTTGAGTTTCGCTGATCGCTCTCATTTGTCGCCTCCCGTGTGTCGAGCCCTTAAGTACTATACAGGCCTCGTCACAGCCTGAACATTGTTGAATATGCTAGAAATGTATATGAAATGTATATGTAGACATTTTCATGTCTACAATAGTTCGCAAGAGTACATTAGGCTACATTATCAAAAAAGGTTGGTTCGCCTAAAAAAAATATATGACATAATTACTTATAAAGAAGCAAATAAACATAATCAAATGCAACTTCAAGCTTTTACTGACACCTTGGAGCAAAGTTTATGTCTAGATTCCAATAATAAAAAAAAATTTAAGCAGGTTTTGATGTGAAAAATCCAGGCAGAAATGCATTTGGCACAGTTTGGCACAAAAAATGTATAATGTGGAATATCTAAATGAAATTGAAACATTTAGATGCTGTTACATATTTGGCCATAAAAATGCATTTTTTCCTCATAAAAAAACCACAAACGTTTTATACAAACTACCTCCGAGCGTTTCTGTGTGTAACTAACGAACGGGTGACAACTCGTTTTAACACACGTCTTTGTTTAAGTCTATCCTGGACCAGTGATGGGAATAACGGCGTTACTTTTTTCAGTAACGAGTAATCAAATTACTTTGACTAACTATAACGCCGTTATCATTGCCTACACCACGTTACTGCACGTTACTCAAGTCGTACCATTAACTTTTTTTTTTACTTCATGATAGGACTTGTGCGCGTGTTGTCATGAGACCAACCTCTCAGCAATTATTGGCTGATGTAAAACATATTTCCTTTACAATCTACATGTCTACAGTTGATAGGATGGCTTATGTTTTTGAAACAAATATGGGTCTTAAATCGCGCTCAACCACGGCTTGTATCACCAAGTGAGGCCAGCCTCAGAGCGCATGTGAGCGCAGAATTCAGCTGCATACAATTCCATCAGAAAGCTCCTTTCTCTTTCTTGTTCATCTGCCAAGGGTAGCAACAGGTTCAGCTAACACATTTTAAGATAATTTGAAATGCACTTAAGGTAATGTTTCAATGACAATAGGAATGATAAAGAGAGGTGAAGGGTAAGAAGGTTGATTTTTGAAATTGGATGCACCCGAGAGTCGGCTGCAGCAAAACACAGGAGTTTGTGAAGGAGACGCGTGTTTTGTTTTACTTTTTAAAACTCATTGGACTTCTTTCCAAATGGAGGATTACATGTCTATGCTCAAACAATTATCTGGACTTAAACATGGAACTGGTCTGAACCGAAGTGGTCTGTGCAGGTCATTTATAAGGTAAGACCCATAACACACTTTTAAAAGAGCTTTTTCATTTGTTTTCCATTTTGTATGAGCAAAACGGAAAACTATGTTTCATATTCTGGCTACAGCAGAATATGAAACATATTCTGCTGTAGCCAAACAAAGTGTGAATAAGCCTCTGTAGGTCCTGTTGATTTATATGATATATATGTTCATCTGATTGGGGTGAAGTCAGTGCTTCACCAACCTTACCGCACGTCACTGGTGTTTCCACATTCACAGTGGCGGGTGTTGGTGTTTAGTGCTAACAGCACAGAGAGAGATGAAGAGTGAGGAGGACTCCAACAGCAAAACAGCCTTTTCCAGATGGAAATATCGGCACTATTTCAAAATCACTGAGGTTAAAGCATATAGACTGTATATATTAATGGACAGAGTCACGCCTATCTCCGCCGTTCTAACTAATGGGCCAAAAAATGTGCTCTACTGGAGCAATCCAAAATGGCCGCGAGTGGTCCCGCCCACAAGAAAATTGTGAAAAAACGCATCTGCGCATGCGTCAGCCGGAGCAGCTCCATTCATTTGAACGAGAGACTTCAAAAATTCACAGCAAGTAAACTAGTGGACCAAAAAAATTCACCCCCCTCAGCATTGACACATGTGGAACGGAGCTTTGGGCCAAGAG